TCCCAGCAACTGAAACTCCCAAATAACAAAATCAACCCCTCCGCAACCCCACCAGTATTCAAATTTGGGCGTATTGGGTATTTGTGCCAAATTTGGTCCAGTGAATGAAAATACATCCTGCATGTCAGATATTTCCATTACGACTCATAACAGTAGCAAAATCACAGTTATGAAGTAGCAACAAATATAATTTTCTGGTTGGGGGTCACCACAATATGAAGAAGTGTATTAAGGGGTTGTGGCATTAGGAAGGTTGAGAAACACTGGTACAGAGGATCCTATAAGATGTAGACAAGGATGAAGGAGGATATTAAGTTAGAGCTTATGATATCTTTAAATGTACTATTTCAATAGAAGACCATGACCCCTTAAAGAAAATATATTACCTGAGAAATGATGATGGAACACTAATAGCTGGAAAGTATTGCACCATACGCAACAAATGTATATCTATTTGAATAAATAAATAAATCTTTAGAAAACTCAACAAATATTAAAATCTATATAAATAAAAATGTAATGTTCGTTTGTGGGATTAACACAACTCAAAAACCACTCGGCGAATTGACACCAAATTTGGCCACAAGACACCAATCACGTCAATGAGTGTCCATCACCCTTAAAAACACACAAAAAACCTGCACAACAACAGACTTTAAAACCATATATACATATACACATACGTTCATACACATATACACAAGCACACATACATACATACACACATATACGCAAGTACACACAAATATACACATATACACATCTACATATACGGCTACACACATATACATATACACATACATACACATAAACAAACATATATGCATATACACAAGCACACACATATACACAATATACATATACACATATAAACACAGAAATATACATATACACATGCACACACACATACAGGCACACACATATATATGCAAGAACACACAAATATACACATACACATACATATACACCTACACACATATACATATACACATAAACACACATATATGCATATACACAAGCACACACATATACACAATATACATATACACATATAAACACAGAAATATATATATACACATGCACACACACATACAGGCACACACATATATATGCAAGAACACACAAATATACACATATACATACACATACATATACACATACACACATATACATATACACATAAACACACATATATGCATATACACAAGCACACACATATACACAATATACATATACACATATAAACACAGAAATATACATATACACATGCACACATACAGACAGACACACACATATATATATGCAAGCACACACAAATATACACACTTACATGCATATACATATACACTTACATACACACATATATTTATTTATTCATTCAAATAGACTCTCAGGTAATTGGAACTCTCAAGCAACCAGAAAAAAAATTAATAATACTTTAAATAAATATTATAATAAAATCTGGAAGAAATTATTATTATTATTTTATTATTATTTAGCAATTTTGTATACCGGTCTTGTCCCCTCTATCGGGGGACTCGGGCCGGTTTCCAACAATAAAATCACAAAACAATCATTAAAAACATCATATAACATATTCAATTAAAACGTTATAACAGCAAAATGCAATCACATAATAACAATGGTCAGTCGTCATAGTGAATTTGTTGTCCATCATTCATCGTCATCTATCCGATCACAGAAATATTGATTCACTCGTCGAAAGCCAAACCCCATAGCCAGGTTTTCACCCGTTTTCTGAACGACAGAATGGAGGGGGCAGTTCTGATCTCCAGTGGGAGAGAGTTCCAGAGTCGAGGGGCCACCACCGAGAAGGCCCTGTCCCTCGTCCCCACCAGACGCGCCTGAGAGGCCGGTGGGACCGAGAGCAGGGCCCCTCCAGACGATCTTAACAACCTAGATGGTTCATAGGGGAGAATACGTTCGGACAGGTAAACTGGGCCGGAGTCGTTTAGGGCTTTATAGGTTAACACCAGCACTTTGAATTGTGCTCGGAAGCTAATTGGCAGCCAGTGGAGCTGGCGCAACAGAGGAATAGTATGCTCCCTGTACCCTGCTCGTGTTAGCATTCTGGCTGTCGAACGTTGGACTAGTTGGAGCTTTCGGGCAGTCTTCATAGGCAACCCCACGTAGAGAGCGTTGCAGTAATCTAAACGGGATACTAAAATGACATCAATCTTTAGCGGAAATTTTGCATGAAGTTGTGCCAATTGGCATTGAATGGCTTTATTTTCATCATATGAATCATATGAATATCAAATCAATGCAGAGTTTTATGGTAGATGATAGGTATGGTGTGAGTTAGTGCAATTTCAATAGGAGCTCTCAAGCAAGCGGAAACTACATTGATCCAAATGGTCCCAGCACAGAGAAGGAAGCGGAAGCTGTGCGAAGAAGGCATTCTTGCAGGTGTTTGTGTTGAAAGTGGCGTTTCCTGCACACAATTCATTGCAAAACAGTAATAGGAAAAGGAAGAAACATTCCGAGTTGGCGACAGAAAGCATGACTTTCACAAGCGTGCCATTATATTTTCCTTCCCACTTCAAATAGGAAGCTAAAGCCACCGGGTATAAATGAAAGCTAGTGAACCTTCCTTGCCTTTGGACAGTTTGCAATCCAGGAGATTCTATTTATTTACTATTTTATTTACTATTATTTACTATATATTTTAAATTATTAATCGTAATGATGGATTTTAAACGTGTTGCGATACATATTGATCCTATGTGTTCTTTTAAATGGATGCTTTGAGTCTCCTTGTGGGGGGAAAAAGAGGGGAATAAATAAAGATAATAATAATAGTAAATAATAATAATATTATCTATCTATCTTTCTATATATATAAATGATCTGTTCGTTTTAAGTGACATCATAACTCAAAATCCGCTGAATGAATTGCCACCAAATTTGGCCACAAGACACCTACTACTAACCCAAGGAGTGACCATCACTAAAAATAAAATTGATTTTGTCATTTGGGAGTTGTAGTTGCTGGGATTTATAGTTCACCTATAATCAAAGAGCATTCTGAACTCCACCAATGATGGAACTGAACCAAACTTAGCACGCAGGACTCCCATGACCAATGGAAAACACTAGAAGGGTTTGGTGGGTACTGACCTTGAGTTTTGGAGTTGTAGTTCACCTACTCCAGAGAGCACTGTGGACTCATACAAGGAAGGATCTAGACCAAAATTGGCACGAATACTCCATATGCTCAAATATGAATACAGATGGAGTTTGGGGGAAAATAGACCTTGACATTTGGGAGTTGTAGTTGCTGAGATTTATAGTTCACTTACAATCAAAGAGCATTCTGAACTCCACCAATGATGGAATTGAACCAAATTTAGCACGCAGGACTCCCATGACCAATGGAAAACACTAGAAGGGTTTGGTGGGTACTGACATTGAGTTTTGGAGTTGTAGTTCACCTACTCCAGAGAGCACTGTGGACTCAAACAAGGAAGGATCTAGACCAAAATTGGCACGAATACTCCATATGCCCAAATATGAACACAGATGGAATTTGGGGGAAAATAGACCTTGACATTTGGGAATTGTAGTTACTGGGATTTATAGTTCACCTACAATCAAAGAGCATTCTGAACCCAACCAACAACAGAATTGGGGCAAACTTCATACACAGAACCCCCATGACCAACAGAAAATACTGTTTTCTGGTGATCTTTGGTGACCCCTCTGACACTCTCTCACAACTTCCTCAGGGGTCCCGACCCCTAGGTTGAGAAATGCTGCCTTAAGGCCATCCAGTCCACCTCCCTTCACAGGGGCAAGAAAACATAATCAGAGCCCTTCTGACAAAGAGCCATCCAGCCATAGATATAGATAGATATATATGATTCACACACACAGATATAGTATCATAGATTGGAAAGGGACCCCTAAAGAAGGACAATGATATGTTGCATATTCCAGGGTGGGCAAACCAGTCAATCTCCACATCAACACTGACAAAGAAACAACAAGAAAAACAAGAAAGCATCAAGACATTTCATATATTAGAAACAAACACTTTCTCATTACTTTATTTTCCGAGAATCACACTGGGCCACAGCAACGCCTGGCAGGGGGTGGCTAGTTATTAATAATAATACTATAGTATGTTGTTGTTCCCCACTTTCTGGTTATCAACCTGTCGGTCCCCGGGTGTTTTGGCCTGTTTGGAATTCTCCTGCTTTTTGAGTATTGCTCTTTATTTACTGTCCTTTTTTGTTGTTGTTGTGTCAGGAGCAACTTGAGAAACTGCAAGTCGCTTCTGGTGTGAGAGAATTGGCTGTCTGCAAGGACGTTGCCCAGGGGACGCCTGGATGTTTTGATGTTTTATCATCCTTATGGGAGGCTTCTCTCGTGTCCCCGCATGAGGAGCTGGAGCTGATAGAGGGAGCTCATCCCGGATTCCAAACTACGACCTGTCGGTCTTCAGTCCTGCCGGCACAGGGGTTTAACCCACTGCACCACTGGGGGCTCTATTTACTGTCCTGATTTTAGAGTATTTTTTTTAATATTGGCAGCCAGATAGGAAACAATCAGGGCCAGCTAACACCTCCCAACAAAGGATCCTCCCAAGCAGGCTTTGAAGTTGCAAAGCCATTCAATACTAATCAAACATTCCCACTTGCCTCCAACAGACAAGAGTACTGTCTCCCACCCTGGACATTATTCCATAGATATATAAATCTATTTTTCCTAGTTTCCAACAGACCTCACAACCTCTGAGGATGCCTGCCATAGATGCAGGCGAAACGTCAGGACAGAATGCTTCTAGAGCATGGCCAGACAGCCTGGCAAACTCACAGCAACCCAACAACATAGTGCATTGCTGCTCCCTGCCTTGATCCATGCAAAGAGGTGGATAAGAAATAAATCATCATCACTGTAAATACTATTGATCATGGTATGGATCCTGGAGGCACCCCGGCCTCGAATTGGGAGGCAGGCTCTCTGCCCGGACTCACTCGGCCGCGCTGGTCCCATTGTGAGCGGATCCGTCGGGCGCCGGGTTGAGCTGGATGGGAAGGGGCTTCTTCTTGGGCATGGCGAGGGAGAGGAAGGAGGAGAAGGAGAAGAGCAGGCACAGGCAGAGCGGGGCTTGCAAAGGCTGAGAGGGAGAGGAGAGCGAGGGAGTCCCGGGCAAGAGGAGGAGGAGGAGGAGGAAGGAGAAGAGCAGGAGGAGGAGGAGTGAGGAAGCTCCTCCTCCTCCTCCTCTTCCTCCCCCAGGTGTATGTGCAAAGGCGCATGCGCCGCACGCAACCAGCCTTCCTTTCTTCTCCTCCTCCCTCTTTCTCTTCTTCTCCACCCTTTTCTCCTCTTTCTTCTTCTCCCTCTTCTCCTCTTTCTCTTCTCCTCATTCCTTTTGTTCACCCTCTCCTCCTCTTTCTTCTCCTTCTCAGCACCTTCTTCTTCACCCTCTTCTCCTCTTCCTCTTCTCCTCCTTCCTCTTCACCTTCTTCTCCTCCTTCTCTTTTTCTCCTTCCTCTTCACTCTTTTCTCCTTTTTCTTCTTCACCCCTTCTCCTCTTTCTCTTCTCATTCCTCTTCTTCACCCTCTCCTCCTCTTTCTTCTCCTCCTCCGCTGCTTCTCTTCCTTTCCCCTTCTTCTTCACCCTCTTCTCATCTTTCTCTTCTACTCTTTCCTCTTCGCCCTCTTCTCCTCATCCTCTTCTCCAACCTCTTCACCCTCTTCGCCTCTTTCTCTCCTCCTCCTCCTCTTCCTCTTCACCCTTTTCTCCTCTTTCTTCTTCACCTTCTCCTCCTCCTTTTCTTCTCCTCCCTCTTAACCCTCTTCTCATCCTTTTCTCCTTTTTCTTCTTCTTCACCCTCTCCTCCTCTTTCTCTTCTTCTCCTTCCTCTTCACAATTTTCTCCTTTTTCTTCTTCCCTCTTTTCTCATCTTTCTCTTCGACTCCTTCCTCTTTACCCTCTTCTCCTCATCCTCTTCTTCTCCATCCTCTTCGCCCTCTTCGCCTCTTTCTCTTCTCCTCTTTCTCTTTTTCTCCTTCCTCTTCACCCTCTCCTCCTCCTTCTCTTATACTCCTTCCTCGTCACCCTCTTCTACTCCTTCTCCTTCCTTTTCAACCTTTTCTCCACTTTCTTCTTCACCCTCTCCTCCTCCTTCTCTTCTCCTTCCTCTTCACCCTTTCCTCCTTCTCTTCTTCTCCTTCCTCTTCATCCTTTTATCCTTTTCTTCTTCTCCTTCCTCTTCACCTTCTTCTACTCCTTCTCTTTCTTTTCCTCCTCCTCTTCTTCACCCTCTCCTTTTCTTTCTTCTTCTTCTCCCCTTCTCTTCCTGTCCCCCTCCTCTCTTTCTCCTCTTCTTCACCTCTTCTCTTTCTTCTTCCTCTCGTTTCTCCGCTCCTTCACCCTCTTCTCTTTCCTCTTTGTGTTCTTCCCCCTTTCCTCCTCTTTTTCCCTTCCTCCTCCTCTCCTTCTTGTCCTGTCCCTCTCCTTCCCTTTTTTTTCCTCTTTTTCCTCTTTCTCCTCCTCTCCTTCTCTTTCTCTTCCCCTCTTCTCCTTTCCTCTGCTCCTCCTCTTCCTCCTCCTCCTCCTTGTTCTTCAAATTTACCCTCCTTTCTCCTTTCCTTCACTTTTTCCTCCTTCTCTTCATCTACCTCCTCTTTCCTCCTCTCCTTGACTCTCTTTACCTTCCTCTTTCTGTCCTTCCCCTTTTCCTCCTCCTCCTCCTCTTCTCTTTCTTCTTCTCCCCTCCTGTCTCTTTCTGTCCCTCTCCTCCTTCTCCCTCTTCCTCCATATTCCTCCTCTTCTCCTTCATTTCTTCTCTTCCTTCTCCTCCTCCCTCTTTCTCTTCTTCAACCTGCTCTTTCCCCTTCTTGTTCTTCTCCCCTTCTCCACCTTCTTATCCCTCTTCTTCCTCTTCTTTCTTTTCTCCCTCCTCCTCCCCCCTCTCTCTTACTCTTCTTTTTTTCACCTTATTTTTCCTCTTTCTGTTCTTCCCCCTCCTTCTCTTCCTCCTATTCTACTCCTTCTTTTCCACTCCTCCTCCTCTCCCCTTTTCTTCCTCTTTCTTTGGTTCTCCTTTCCACCTCCTCCTTGTATTGTTGTTGTTGTTGGAGTTAGAGTTGTAATTTGCACTAATGTGCAGAGAAGGCAAAAGACCTTGCAAAACTACGCACAAAACAACAGTCTTTGGGATTTCCTATTGACATCAGATGCAGTGGTATCAAACTGCACTAATTTTGCAGTGCAGATAGCATTGAATCTCCCATTTGCACCTGAGGAAGGGGACTGATGTTCGCACACGCAGATTCCCACTAGTATCTTTTTCTCAATTGCCTACGATAAGAGAAAAAAAAAACCCAATCTTATTTCACATCATTGGTTTCAGCCTGCATTCCCAGTCCTTTGCACTCATGCAGATAAACATGAGTCCTGGTCTAATGCAAACAACACCGATTCGGCCTTTCATAACATGGCTATCAATGGGAGATCAACAATGATGGTAAAAGGCATGCACTTCAGTTATAGAAAAAGGCTCTTGGATGAGGAAAGTGTGATTCTCATAGAAGCAAGGCTCTGCAATGAGCCAAACGGGAAGCCGGGATGCAGTACAGCAATTGGGAGGCATTCAAATAATTAATTTGCTGATTAATTAATTCATCAGTTTTGGAATGGATTCCAAAACAGATCCATTTCCCTGATCAAAGTAATGGTTGAATGCAATGGCTAAATACGATGAATTGAATATTTTTTTTTAATTTTATTTTTAAAATACATACAGTACACACACAAAACATTTACAATTCCCACCACCAACACGAGGGTTGTTTTCTTTTACATATTCATTTATTTTTGAGACAATCTTTATATCTTTATACATTTCCATCCTATATACTATATAACATTTGTATCTTATTTCTCATGGCTTGATCTCTGGGTTGATTCATGATATAATTCTTTACCCGTGTCCATCTTTCTTCCATTTCTCTCATTCTATTTTCATTGATTTTTGAATCATTTAATTTCACATTCATAATTTCGAATTCCATTTGCTCCACCACATATTGGTACTATTTATTAACTGTCCATTTTGATTTATCTTTCCACCCTAATACTATTACTACTTGTGCACATTGAATTATTGCTTCTTTTATTTCCCGTTTCCTCTATTTTCCGTAATACCGCCATTTCCTTTGTTATGAAGGAGACTTATGTTATCCAGGAGACTTATGCATCCAGATGGATTCCTGATGGCTCTTGGGGAGTTTCCCGCCGCCTCGGTAGGTGATCCTGTCGAGGCCCTGGTCACTCTCTGGAATGGGGAGATGACTAGGGCAATTGACACGATCGCTCCGGAACGTCCCCTCTCAAGTAGCCAAGCTAAACCAGCTCCCTGGTTCACCGAGGAGCTGGCAGCGATGAAGCGAAGGAAGAGGGAACTAGAGAGTGTGTGGCGTTCAGATCCGAGTGAGCCAAATCGAACACGGTTTGTGTCCTTTTTAAGGGCATATGCCGCGGCAATAAAAGCCGCAAAGAAAACTTTCTTTGCGGCCACTATTGCGTCTGCAAAGAACCGTCCGGCTGAGTTGTTCCGGATTGTCAGAGGCCTTTTAAACCCCGCCACTCTAGGTGGGAACCCTGACAACTCGACTTCTCGCTGTGAAGCTTTTGCTCAGTTCTTTGCAGACAAAGTCGCTTTGATCCGTTCTGGTCTGGATACCATGTTAATGGCAGTCTCTGAGGATGTAACACGAGCACCTGCTTGTCCAGTTTTGATGGATTCATTTCAATTGGTGAAACCCGAGGATGTGGACAAGATACTTGGAGGAATGAGGCCAACCACATGCATCCTGGACCCCTGCCCATCCTGGCTTCTAAAGGAGGCCAGAGGGGGATTGGCTGAGTGGGTTAAGGTGGTGGTTAATGCTTCCCTTCGGGAAGGCAAGATTCCAGCGAGCTTAAAACAAGCTGTTATAAAACCGCTGTTGAAAACCATCACTGGACCCCACTAAATTCGACAACTATCGGCCAGTTTCCAATCTCCCTTCTTGGGCAAAGTCCTTGGAACGTGTGGTGGCCTCACAACTCCAGGCATTCTTGGTAGACACGGATTATCTTAGATCCGGCCCAGTCTGGCTTTAGGCCGGGCATGGTACCGAGACAGCCTTGGTCGCCTTAGTGGATGATCTCGGTCGGAGCCTGACAGGGGGAGTGTGTCCCTGTTGGTGCTGCTCGACCTCTCAGCGGCCTTCGATACCATCGACCACGGTATCCTCCTGGGACGCCTCGCGGGGATGGGTCTTGGAGGTACTGTTTTGCAGTGGCTCCATTCATTCCTCGAGGGTCGGTCCCAGATGGTGTTATTGGGAGACTCCTGTTCAACCCCACAACCTTTGTCTTGTGGGGTTCCTCAGGGTTCAATATTGTCTCCCATGTTGTTTAACATCTACATGAAGCCGCTGGGTGAGATCATCCGGAGTTTCGGGATGCGGTGTCATCTGTACGCAGATGATGTCCAACTCTGTCACTCCTTTCCACCTGCTACTAAGGAGGCTGTCGAGGTCCTGAACCGGTGCTTGGCCGCTGTGACGGTCTGGATGGAGGCGAACAAATTGAAATTGAATCCAGACAAGACAGAGGTACTCCTGGTCAGTCGCAAGGCCGAACAGGGCATAGGGTTACAGCCTGTGTTGGATGGGGCCGCACTCCCCCTGAAGACGCAGGTTCGCAGCTTGGGTGTGACCCTGGACTCATCGCTGAGCCTGGAACCCCAGGTTTCAGCGGTGACCAGGGGAGCATTTGCACAGCTAAAGCTTGTGCGCCAGCTGCGCCCGTACCTTGGGAAGTCTGACTTGGCCACGGTAGTCCACGCTCTGGTTACATCCCGTTTAGACTACTGCAACGCTCTCTACGTGGGGTTGCCTTTGAAGACAGCTCGGAAGCTCCAACTAGTCCAACGCTCGGCAGCCATGATTTTAACAGGAGCGGAGCGCAGGGAGCATACAACCCCCCTGTTGCGCCAACTCCACTGGCTACCGATTTGCTACCGGGCTGAATTCAAAGTGCTGGCGTTGGCCTTTAAAGCCCTAAACGGTTCCGGCCCAAGCTACCTATCTGACCGCATCTCTGCCTATGAACCCACCAGGACTTTGAGATCTTCCGGGGAGACCCTGCTCTCGATCCCGCCTGCTTCTCAAGCTCGGCTGGCAGGGATGAGAGATAGGGCCTTCTCGGTGGTGGCTCCTCGGCTGTGGAACGCCCTTCCTACGGACATTAGACTAGCACCATCTCTAATGGTATTCCGCAAAAAGGTGAAGACCTGGATGTTTGTGCAGGCGTTTGAGTAATTTAGAGCAATCTGGTAATGGAACATAGGAATGGAACAATGGACGACGAACCTGGACTATGCTTGGATGATGAGAAGATTGGGTATGGTTGTTTTTTGTAATAATTGTGCATTGTAATTGCTTATTGGTAATTTATGGATAATGTGTTAAGTCAATTGTTATATGTTGTATGGAACCACTGCTGTTTCTACTGTTTCTACTGTTTGTGAACCGCTGTGAGTCGCCTTCGGGCTTGAGATACAGCGGTATATAAGCAAAGTAAATAAATAAATAAATAAATAAATATGACCCACTCATTTCCTAGTATTTGATTTGACTCATTTAGTATAATCTGCCAGAAATCTTGTACTTATTCACATTCCCACATCATGTGCATAAAAATAATGGAATGGGTTAAATTTAGTTCAAATAAAGCACCGCTTTTGGGTACGTCTGCATGGTGGGATTAATGCAGTTTGACACCATTTAAACTATCATAACTGCTAAGGACTCCTGGGAGTTGTAGTTTGGGACAGGGAAAGGCCTTGTGAAACTTCAACTCCAGGATTCCCTAGCATCGGGCTAAAAGAAGGGACATTTACACTGTGGAATTAATGCAGTTTGATTGCACTTTAATTATAACCAATGCTATGGAGTTCTGGAAGTTGTTTGGGGAGGGTCCAGCCAGGGAAAGGCCTTGTGAAACTACAACTCCAGCATTCCTTAGCATCGGGCTAAAAGAAGGGGCATCTACACTGTGGAATTAATGCAGTTTGATTGCACTTTAATTATAACCCATGCTATGGAGTTCTGGAAGTTGTTTGGGGAGGGTCCAGCCTGAAAGGCCTTGTGAAACTACAACTCCCAGGGTTCCTTGGCATTGAGCATCGAGTGGGAATCTGCACTGTGGGATTAATGCAGCTTGATCTCACTTTAACTACCATAAATGCTAAAGAGTTCTGGGAGTTGTAGTATGGGGGAGGCTCCAGCAAGGGAATGGCCTTGTGAAACTACAACTCCCAGGATTCCTTAGTATTCGGCTAAAAGAAGGGGCATCTAAACTGTGGGATTAATGCAGTTTGATACCACTTTAAGTATAATCAATTCTAACTATAATCAATGCTTTTGGACTTGTAGTTTCACAAAACGACAACTCCTAGGATTCCATAGCAACGAGCCATTAAAAGTGGAATTAAAAAACGTTTTAAAGGAGACTCCATTAGTGTAGATCCATCTATAATTTATTGTTTATTTTATTGATGTTTATAATAATTCTATAATTTTCCAAAATACGGGGCTTTTTTCGACGAATGTTTGGGCTTTCCTTTTTTTGGCGTTGCTAAGAGGGGTAAATCTACCTAGCAACGCAACATCAGTTAGGACACGTTTTCTAAGGGTAGGGGGCCTCACGCCAAGCAGGTGGCTGTTCTCGCGAGACCCCCCTCGCAGCCAGCGGCCTTGCGCTTGGCCTCCACCAGTGCGCACGCGCAAGGGTTCATTTTGCTCCCGTCTAGGCGGTTTGGCGCGCTTCGGCTGGTTACTGCTTCCGTTTTCCGGTGCCTTCCCAACCGGAAGTTGGCTACCCATTGTCAGAAGGAAGCCGTCTGGAGACGGTGAGCGGTGGCAATTTTATCCATTTATTTATATATAACAATTTTCACTCCCTCTATCTATCTATCTATCTATCTATCTATCTATCTATCTATCTATCTATAAATCTTTTGCAAATATTCCTTATATATATCTGGATGTTTATATATATATAGATATATATCTATATATAGCAATTTCCCCATTATATATATATATACACACACACACACATAAATACACATACATATATATATTGCAGATTTTCCATATATATATATAGAGAGAGAGCAATTTTTCCACATATATTGCAAAATTCGTCCATCTGTGTATATATGTATACATATATATACATACACATAAATATTTTGATAATTTTCCATATATTTGGAAAAAATATTCATATGTATATGTATATACAGATGAAGAAATTTTGCAATATATATGTGGATAAATGGCAAAATATTTATATATATGCGTTCTGCAGAATTTTTCCATCAGTGTGTGTAAATATTTTGCAAATTTTACATTTATATATTTATATATTTCTCCTTTTTGCTCTTTTTCCATGTCTATATACACACACATATTTTGCATATATTTCCATATATTTACATAATTTTCAAAATCTTTTTATATATAAATATTTTGTAAATTTTCCTATATATTCATTTTTCCGACATATTTTGCCATTTTCCCAGCCAATTTTTTAAATCTGTTTGTGTGTGTGTGTATCATTTTTTCCATATATATGGCTATATTTTGCAAAAACCCTGGTTTGCAGCCTGGAGTGCTTCAGACATTATGAACTTACAAAAATGCCCTCTGCATGTTCTCATGATATATAACAAAAAAAAACTATATTATTATTGTGATTAGATATTTTGAACAACAACTAGAACAATTGAGAGGAGACATGAGAGCCATGTTTAAATATTGATAAGGATTCCATAAGGAAGAGGAAGGAGACTAGGACTCAGTGGAGCCATGAGTTCAAATGACAAGAAAGGAGATTCCACTTGAACATTAAGAAGAACTTCCTGACTGTAATAAGAGCTGTTTGACAGTAGAAATCTCTGCCTCAGAGTCCAATTAATCCTCCTTCTTTGGAGGCTTTGAAATAGAGGCTGGATGGCCATCTGTCGGGGGTGCCTTGATTGTGCTTTTCCTGCATGGCGGAAAGCGCTTGGACTACATGGCCCAATGTTATGATTTTATGATCTCTCAAAAGTATAATGCTGGTGAGGCCAAAGACATTTATTATCTTCCTTCTTTGCAATAGGTGCAGTATTATCTTCCAGAACAGCATTCCTGTTGTAACAAGATGATAGATCCCATAGAGAGCAATCTATTTGATCTTCCCAGCTATGAACAAATCGAGGATGAAGCCTTTCTGCCTCTGCCACCTCCTGATTCTCCTGCGGGAGATGCTGAGGCCGACCTGGTTAATGGAGGTGACTCTTTGTTATAATTCTTGGCTCAGAGTAGAGTTGTTTTCTTTTTATTGTAAGCAAATGTTACTTTTGACTTTCTTGGGGAGGGGGGCAGGGGGGAAGATGAGTGGGAACGATTTTTTTATTTTCTCTTTTTTCCTAAAGGAATTTTGTTGAAACAGTCTCTAAAGCACCGCAAATACATAAGCAGGACATAAATAAACAACTCTGACAGCACCTTTCTTTGGGACTGATGTAACATTGAAATATATTGTTTACCATCATTAGCCACACTTGTTTACATCCTGTAAAATCTGGTTGCTGTCATTTGCAGTTTTAGAATGCATTTATTTTTATTTGCCAGAACAAGAGGGAAACAAAGCCAAGGATTCCCCTGTGACGACCAGAAGAACTGTAAAAAGACCCTTGCCCAAACTAGATGCTCAAAGGTATATTTTAGAGCTAAAGACTTGTGCGTAGAAGTGGCATTCAATAAGGGAATTGGTTTATTTGCTGACTTTTTATTGATGTCTTCTTCTAGAACTCAGATCTCAAGATATATTCCTTCATGGATTTCTTTAAGTGGCGTTTGTTTGGCCCTTTGTTGCCCTGTAAGGCCATTCTGCCCCAGAATTCACTCTTGGTGGCCATGTCCTTCATGAGCCTGAAGTTGTCCCAGATTATGAACCCTATTGCATGTATCAATTTCTTTGGTATAGATTTTAGCTTGCAATAGTTAGAAGATTGCAGTTACTGGTCTGTGGATTATATACCATGAATGAACTTGGGTCTTTTGCCAGTGGCAAAGGATAGAATAAGGATATTTAAGCAGGTAATCTTTTCTAGATTAATATAAATGATGAGTTATATCATGCCATTCTTCTGCGTTGTGATAGAATATTGGAAAGGCATGGTTCATTACAATAGGAAAAAAATCAGAGACTGTTGGTTAGTACCATTTCACACTTCGGGGTGTCTTGTTTCATATATTGCTATTTCTGATGTGATTTTATGCAGTTTGCTCTGTGTGGTTTTATTTAATATGCTGCGTTGGGACAGATAAACAGATTGGGGAAGATACTGGATGGATAGCTACATTTGTTTTTCAAGTAACCAGAGACACTTCTAACATTCACAGGCTAATTTCTGAGCGAGGACTTCCTGCTTTGCGAAGTATGTTTGATAATATAAAATTCAAAGGTAAAGGCCATGAGGTAAGGCATGCCCAGAGGTTTTTCTCTTGACTTTTGTGGCCGTTGCATGACAGGGTTCTGTTTTGAGGCCAAAATAGCCAAATAACAATGTTTATTAGTGAAAAGAAACTAAGAAAACATTAGGGACCGTAATCACAATAGTGTTATATCCATTGATTGTGAGTTGTCATTATTATGATAGCATTGGTATAAAATAGGGCCACTATTTGTGCCTCCAGAACCAAGAGATAAATAATATTTCAATGTGTTAATGTATCTTTCAAAGTGCTTTCCCAAGTACCTTTACTTTTACTTAATTTGTTGTGCCCATTCATATCCTGTCATGTTAGCAAGAAAATGTCTTCAGTGGCTACGTTTTTCAGAGATTGGGCCAAACATTGGTGATAGTTAAGATTGAATGCGTGCCCAGATTCTTGCTGAGGGAGCGGTTTAATGGCATCTTGTTTGTATGACTAGGAAGCCGACCTGCAAACCCTCATAAGGCACATGGAGCACTGGGCGCATAGGCTCTTCCCGAAACTTCAGTTCGAGGAGTTTGTCGACAGGGTCGAAACCCTGGGAAATAAAAAGCCAGTCCAGGTGGGTGTCACTGTCGCCATTTTTTTCTGTAATTTAAAAAAAAATTGTGTGTGAATAACAAACAAAAAGCAAAAATCAAGTACACATAGTACAGTGACTAATATAAAATGTATAATTCCAACTTCTTATCAAACCCTTTCCCCCCTTCCCCACATTCCTAAACCCATCATTTATGATTTCCAATACTACTCAATGTGAGGTTTCCACTTGACATTAATTCTAGTTGTGTCCGACTCTGGGGTTTGGTGCTCATCTCCATTTCTAAGCCGAAGAGCTGGTGTTATTCGTAGACACCTCTAAGGTCATGTGATCAGCATGACTGCATGGAGTACCATTTACCTTGAGTCGCCTCCAGAGTCGAGAAAGGCGGGGCAGAAATGAAGTAAATAAATACTTTCCTGTCGGAGCAGTACCTATTGATCTACTCTGGCCCAACTTACCTGTCTGAACGTGTCTACCCATACGAACCATCGAGGACTCTTAAGATTGTCTGGGGAGGCCCTGCTCTCGGTTCCGCCTTCGTCTCAAGTACAGGGCCTTCTCGGTGGTGGCCCCTCAGCTATGGAACACCCTCCCTAGGGAAATTAGATCTGCTTCCTCCCTCTTAATGTTTCGGAGGCAAGTTAAAACATGGCTGTTCGAGCAAGCGTTTACAAATGCAGAGTAGCTAATATAGGAAATCGAACAATTTGACAATGGAACTGGACAATGCTTGATAATGATGAGACGCTAATGGTGTTGTTTTTATGGCTTTTGTGATGTCTTATACTGTTTAATGTTTTTATTTATATTATGCTTTATTTATACTGATTTGTTGGAAACCGCCTTGAGTCGTTGATTGGCTGAGAAAAGCGGTATACAAATACAGTAAATAAATAAATACTCGTGTTTGCATGTTTTCGAACTGCTAGGTTGGCAGAAGCAGAGGCTAACAGCGGGAGCTCACCCTGTACCATGGATCTGAACTGCCGACCTTATGTCAGCAAGTTCTGCAGCTCAGCAGTTTAACCTGCTGTTCCACCACCGCCCACCTATTGTGAATCATATACCTATTGAAACCTACCCTTATATCTGTTTTAATAAATACCCGTTGCAGCAACTTTAAAATCTACAACTGTTTTCCTTTCCAAATATCCAAATGCCAGCCTCCATTTTTGGCAAATTCTTCATTGTTTCCTCCTTGAATACCATGGGTTAACTTGACCATTTGAATATGCTATGATTTTTAGGTTTGAATATGTTTTAATGGTTTTTAGTTGTGAATTTTAAACTTTTATGTTTAATTCTGTTTTAGTGTTTGCATATTTGTATATTTTAAATTATGTGGTCATACTTTTAATTTTTAGCTGCTATGAGTCTCCTTCGGGAGAGATAAAGCAGGGTATAAATAAACAGAATGATGATGATGATAATAATAATAATAATAATAACAAGTAGGAAACTAAGCAAGTGAGGTTTATATCACTGTTTCCAACAGACCTCACAACCTCTGAGCATGCCTGCCATAGATGTGGGCGAAACGTCAGGAGAGAATTCTTCTGAAACATGGCCATACAGCCCGGAAAACTCACAGCAATCATATAATATATTGTAATAGTTTTTTTCTCCAGCCCTTTATGAGTAATTCTTTTTTTTCCCCTTCCAAAATTTCACTATTGATCCCGCAAGAGCAAAGCTATTTTGGCCAATTTCTTCATCTCCTTTGTTGATTCTCTCACTAAATACTCCTAAAGGAAGACACATTTCTGGCTTGTTCTTAACCCCTTTAGTAATAATTTTGTTTGTTTCTTTAACCACTTTTCCCCAAAAAATTTGGACCAACCTGCAGGTCCACCAAAAACTACCTTTCTGCATCTTGCACCTCCAGCATTCCCTTGAATAAGATTAATCTATTTTAGCTGTCATATTATATAGCTAAAATAGAACTATATAGCTTCTGTAGAACCTTTTGTATACACTTTCTCTAATGGATCCAGCGATTCATTAGAGAAATTAATTGCCTGTAACACAGTTAGTCCTTTCTTAGCAAATTATCTCATTCCGTTTTAGAGAATGAGCCCGCGATTATTTAAATCCTATTTTCCATAGATGTTCCAGTTGGTGCCATTTTTGAGCAAAAGTAATGCTTTAACTGGTGGCAACACCTAACGAATGACCCATTCTCCTCCTCCTAGGCCTGCTTAAAGCGAATTAGACTCGATCTGCCCATTTTACATGAAGACTTCTCAACTAACGAAGGCATGTATGCATTGACGATTCTAGCACTTGGCTCCTTTTCCCTCTTAATGTCATAATGTTTGGATTCTACTGAGAAATAGTAGGCCCTGAATGATCTGCTAAAAGTTGGTTTACTTTTGTTCTGCTTTGTGTAGTTACAACTAGAGTAGACTCTTTGAATTGGACCTCTTCTACAATGCCATGTATCCCAGAATATCAAAGCAGATAATCTGGATTTTACATGTCAGTGCAGATGGGGCCTGAATTAAGTTTTGCTTTGGTTTTAGCTGTGAATAGATTTGTAATTGGTTTTTAGGTTTCTAACTGTCAATTTTTAATACTGTTCATGTTTATCTTATGTTAATATTTGTGTATTTTTTAGGTTTGAGTCGCTTTGAGTCTCTTTTAGAGAAAAAGCAAAATATAGACAATAATAATAATAGTAATAATAAACATTTATTTATCAGCTTCAGTGGATCTGTTCTAGCTGGATCTAACACTTGGAATGCTCCCATTGTCTGTAACACAGTCAGTCCTTTCTTAGCAAATGATTTCATTCAGTTTTAGAGAATGATATATTTAAGAGTGTCCATCTCTAGATGGAAGACCAGATCCCTCACTATGTTTGAGATACAAATAAGTGTCTTTAAATAATATTTGCAACCATTTGCTGAGTTGTCGAAGGCTTTCATGGCCGGAATCACTGGGTTGCTGTGAGTTTCCCAGACTGTCTGACCATGTTCCAGAGGCATTCTCTCCTGACGTTTCGCCCACATCTATGGCAGGCATCCTCAGAGGCTGTGAGGTCTGTTGGAAACTGGGCAAGTGAGGTTTATATATCTGTAGAACAGGCACAATCAAACTTGGGCCCAGCAAGTGTTTTGGACTTCAACTCCCACAATTCCTAACAGCCGGTAAATTTCACTATCAGAAATCTTCAGAGGTCTGTTTGCCTTGGTCCATGCTCTGAGAATTCTCTAAATCCTGAGAATTGGCCCAGAGTTCTTCTGGCTTGATCAGACTCTCTATACATGAAACAATCCATGCCTCATTTCCAACAGACCTCACAACCTCTGAGGATGCCCGCCATAGATGTGGGTGAAACGTCAGGAGAGAAAGCTTCTGGAACATGGCCAAACAGCCCAGGAAACCTCACAGCAACCCTTTTGCTGAGCATTTGCATCCTATTTTCAGAAGGGACCCTTTTTACAGTCTCTTTGGATGTTTTGAGTTGTTTTGTGCCATAATAGAGATGGGATTTGTGGCAAACCTCCCTATATTTGAGCTTACCCTTTGGATATACAGGCAGTTCAAGAGTTACAAACGACTCATAGTTGCAAACAGGGGTGGTACAACAGGAAGTTAGGGCTTCACTTTAGCACAGCAGGTTAACCACCAGCTGTAGTAAATCTTGCGAACTTAAAGGTTGACAGTTCAAATCCTGGGTCAGGATGAGCTCCTGGTTTTTAGCCCAGCTTCTGCCTACCTAGCAGTTTTGAAAACAGCAATGTCAGTAGATAAATGGGTACCGCTTAATTGGGGAGGTATTTAAGGCACCCATAAGGAAATGCCAGAAAAATGCTGGTGATTCGATCAAGGAGGAAGTTTACGAACAAAGCTCTTTGACTGGGAAAGTGGAGCAAGAGCATCCCCTGGTGGCCGGAACTAAGTACAACCTCCAAGATGCTGAAGATGAGGAAACCTATATATACCTCTATCTATGTCCAGTTGTCTGCTGCATATGTGTTCTGTGATACACCTTGAGTCCCTTTCCAGGTGAGAAGGGCAGAATAGAAATACTGTTAATAAATAAATACAATCTTTCCAAATTATTATTTTTATTATATTTATTTATACCCTGCTTTATCTCCCCAAAGGGGAACTCAACTTCCCACGATAATAAGATGTCTCAAAAGGACTTGTACTGAGGATAATTCTTGGCCTCTCTCTCTCTTGGTATCAAAGCAATTAGGCCAATGTGGCTGACATGAATATTGGCTGCATTTGTGAGAGATACAGTGCAGCCCTATGTGGCCACAGACATTAACAATACTGGTTCCTGCCGACAGTATCTGTCTAGATATCAGATTGCTGTGCGATGGTTCCAGACATTTGATATAAGAGTAATGACAGCTAAAGATTGTGTTGTATTGAGCAAGATGCAAGAAATGTTCAAGATGAAAGTCATGTCTCCATCTGTGCTATTGCCTGTCCCTGCTAAACAGGATTCTTGCATCCAATGTAGGCGAAGATGCAGGAAACGACAGGCTGAACACCGAAGAAGTAGATGCATTTTCTGAAATCCAGAAGACAAGAGAAGGCTGTGGTTCACGTGTAGTTCCGACTTTAACGGAGGAGCAACAGCAGAGGATCGAGAGGAACAAGCAGTTAGCCCTCGAAAGGAGGCAAGCAAAAATGCAGCTGGGGAGTCAGTTGCAAGAACACGGTACGTTCTCTAAAGCACTGCCATCTGCAATGGGGTTTATTGATTAGCTCAATGCTGGGGTCCCAAAATATTTTGGCAACAGTAAATAGTGGCTCTTATATGTGTGTGTGTGTATATCCGAGGTTTACGAAGACTAACAAAAACCTGCACATCCCATATATATATGTGTGTGTGTGTGTCTATGTGCGCGCGCACATGTGTGTGTGTGTGTGTATATATGTATGTGTGTGTTATATATATATAAGGGATGTGCAGGTTTCTGTTAGTCGTCGTAAGTCGTATTGAATTAGTTAAAGTTGTATTTACGATGCAATATCCAACATTTTAAGACTCAAAACTGACCCAGTATTTTTTTCATTTGGATTTTGTAAACCTCGGAAGCCTCTCAAAGTCAGTTTCATGTTCAGTGCAAGGAAGCAAAGCAAAGCCAAAAAGACTGCCTCTCCTCTTTAAATGAATGTCCTCTCGCTATATATCTGTGGAATAATGTCCAGGGTGGGAGAAAGAACACTTGTCTGCTTGAGGCAAGTGTGAATGTTGCAATTGGCCAGCTTGATTAGCATTGAATGGCCTACAGAGGGACTACCAAATGCAATATTGCCTAGACATGAATCAAGGCATATGAAAGGCACTGCAGCTGCAAGGCCATTCAATGCTAATCAAGCTGGCTGATTACAACATTCACACTTACCTCAAACAGGCAAATGTTCTTTCTCCCACCCTGGATATTATTCCACAGATATATTACTTGCCTAGTTTCCATCAGACCTCACAACCTCCGAGGATACCTGCCACAGATGTGGGCAAAACGTCAGGAGAGAATGCTTCTGGAACATGGCCATACAGTCCGAAAAATTTACAACAACCCAGTGATAATAATAATAATAGTAATAATAATCTTTAGCCAGAAACATGACTCCAATTTAATGTTTGGTTTTTGCTCTAAAGTTAACTGTTTCCTGCAGCTTGACCTCCTGCCTTTGTGGTAATTGCTTCTTTGACCGTAAAAATTGAATTTGCAGAATCGATTGCCTTTTTCTCATACGCTCTCCAGCTTATTGAGTGGCTTAGAGGATGAGTCACGAATTAAATTACAGGAGGGATCGGTGCCAGAAGAGTGATGTTAAGCTGTCAATATTCATTTGCTTCCCACAGAGTTTAGCGAAGACTATAACCATTTTGTGGCCCAGGAGCCGGACGATGGGGCCTCGCTAGAAACGGAAAGCCCGGCTTTCCAAACTTCTCCAAAGGCACAAAGTATGGAAGATGATGAATGACTTAGAACTGGGCTTGGATCGAGCGACAAAGGACTTGAAATCACCAGTGGCATCTCCTTCTTCTTCATTCCTTGCTGCTAAAAGGATTTTGATTAATAAGTGCATTTTCTCCCTTTTTTTGTAAACAACTGTAAGGACTTTTTGGTGCTAACCTTCGTTAGAGGAGAGAGTCGTGTTATCATTAAAAAAATGTTCTTTGAAATGTTTGGTCTTTCCATTTGAAAAGGAGAAAGGCTTATAGATGAAAGCGGCAAGAGTTCCCTGTGAGCGCAAAAGCGTCCACACAGGAGGCTCTTAGAGAGAACTATCTCCTTTTTACTTTTGTGTGGTGACATGTTTGTAGCACTGTCCTTGTTTTATATGGGAAATAAACAGTAAAATCTTGGAAATCAAAAGAGCTGAATATTTAAAATGAAGAGCAGTTCTAACCAGCATATACCTACCAGTATTGAAATGAGAAGGGTGGGCCTGCTTTTGGTTGATGAGTCAAGTTAATTAGGATTGTTGTTACGTGCCTTCAGGCCGTTTCAGGCTCATGGTGACCCTCTCACAGTTTCCTTGTCAAGATTCATTCAAAGGGGGTTGGCCTTTATCTTCCTTCTTTTGAGGCTGAGAGTGTGTGACTTGCCTAAAGTCACCAGTCCAAGGTCCTAACCATGCCACTTTCTGAATTTCTTCCCTTTGTTCATTATTTCTTTGTTTTCCCTCTTTTTCCTGAGTACATACCTTTCTTTCTTTTCCCCCTCCTCCATCCCTCCTTTTCCTTCCTGCCTCCTTCATTCCACTCCATTCCATTCCTTCCTCGTTTTCTTCCTTTTCTATATTCTTTCCTTTTTTGCTGTCTTACCTTTCTCCTTCCTTGCCTTCCTCCCTCATTTGCATTTCCTTCCTTTCTTTTCTCTGTTCTCTCCCTCCTTCCTGTCCTAACTTCCTTGCTGTCTTCCTCCATCATTTTCTTTTTCTGCCTTTCCTTTTTCTTCTTTCCTTCCTCCCGTCCTCTTATCTTTCCCGCTCCCTGTCTTTCTCCCTCATTTGCTTTTCCTTCCTTTCCTTTTTCTTCCTTCCCTCCCTCCTTCGTCCTATTTTTCCTGCTCCCCGCCTTTCTCCCTCATTCACTTTTTCTGCCTTTTTTCCAGTTCTTTCCCTTCCTCCTGTTTTATCTTTCACCCTCCCTGTCTTCCTCCATCATTTGCTTTTTCTTCATTTTTCTCCTTCATCTTTCCTTTCCCGCTCCCCGTCTTTCCTATCTTTGTTTTCCTTGTTCTCTCCCTTCTTTCTGTCTTACCTTTCTTGCTTTCTGTCTTCCTCATTTGCTTTTCCTTACTTCCTTTTCTCTATTCTTCTTTCCTGTCTTATCTTTCTTGCTCTGTCTTACTTCCCCATTCATCTTTCCTTCCTTTCTTTTCTCTATTCTCTCCCTTCTTTCCTTTCTTACCTTTATTGCTCCCCGTTTTCCTCCCTCATTCAATTTTACTTCCTTTCTTTTTTCTCTTCTTTCCTCCCCTCTTTTTCCTCTTTCTCCTTCCCCTACTTCAGTTTCATTTGTCCCTCCTCCTTTTCTCTCTTCTCTACTGCCTGTCTGGCTTTCCTTCTTTCTCCCTCCCTGTTCTTCCTCCCTCCTTCTGTTCCTTTCTTCCTCCTTTTCTGTATTCCTCCCTCCCTCTATCCCATGTGCTGGGGTCCAGGCAAATTACCTTGGCGGGCAATATAATGTCTGGCCATAATCTGAGGACCCCCTTCTCTAGGCAAAGAAGGAATACTGTGCTCTGGTACAAAATAATACAAATGTCAAGCATTGTATAAAACGGGCATGGATAAACTTTGGCCCTCCATGTGTTTTGGACTTCTGGCTCCAACAATTCCTGACCACAGATCCTTTCCTGAGGCCAGGGATTATGGGAGTTGAAGTCCAAAACACCTGGAGGGCCAAAGTTCGCCCATGCTTGATATAGAAAGTGCTGTGGGGGTTGGTTCTGGCCGATGTCATCATGAACGATTTGAAAGAACAACCAAGTTGGTGGCTCTCACTTATTTTAATACTTCCTCCCTGAGACATATGTTGGATATATTTACAGTTTTCTTTACTTCACCCAAGCCAATAGTACTTTCCATTGTCATTCCAATATTTGAATGGTGTTTTAAATTATAATTACAGAGTAACGTCAATTAAAAACATTCCCAGACATCCCCAGTCTTTTTAAAAACAAAACAAAACATGTAAACAAAGCTAGCCAAATGAGATAACTGTATGAAATGGATGTTTCAAGCCCCGCTATTTGCAGACACATCCATCAAAGCCAAGTCCTTGATTTCCTCCAAAAGCTGGTACAAGTTCGAACCCTGCGTCTGGCGATACTCTGCACATCCTTCCTCCTCTGCCTTCTCTGCCTGGGATTTTCCATGCGCAAACAGAGCCTCTTCCGCTGCTGCCGTCCTGGTGACTTCCCTCACCAAATCTGTTCTGGACACCTGAGAGCCTTGAGACGGGTCTCCGACTGGTGCCTGGTGAGGCCTGCAGCTTGTGATCTGGAGCCGGATGGTGTCGGCATGGCAGCGAGAAGTCTGCACTGAGATCTTGACCTGAAGCGAAAGGAAACGGGATAAGACCCTGTTTGGAACCTCCCTAAGCAAGCACCCTATTTATTCGAATCTAAGGCTGCGCATGAGATTTTCATCATACGGTCCTCTTGATGTTAAGCCAAAGGGGAAACTGTGTCATCTCTTAACATTATGTAACCAAATTTGAAAAAAAGTTCTGTTTCTGGTTTGAAAGTGCTGTTTCCTGTTTATTTGCATGATCTTTACTTTGAAAGTAGTTGCTATACTCCAGAAACTTAATTTTTGTAGTTGCCACAAACTAGGTTGAATTGGTTGAAACTTCATTGAAAAACTCTTGCAAAAATGTGTTGCGCAATGTCTCTCAAAAACAAAGTTTTGCCATTTAATAAACTTTTCCCCATGTTTTTATGATAGGAAATGACATTGATAACCCAGGAACAAAAATCGTCATGTTACATAGTAGTCAGGGGCCCAGTATCTGTAAGGTAAAGGTTGTCCCCTGACATTAAGTTCAGTCTGGTCTGACTCTGGGGGTTGGTGCTCACCTCCATTTCTAAGCCGAAGAGCCGGCGCTGTCCATAGACACCGCCAAGATCATGTGGCCGGCATAACTGCATGGAGCACCATTACCTTCCCGCCGGAGCAGTACCTATTGATCTCACATTTGCATGTTTTCGAACTGCTAGGTTGGCAGAAGCTAGGGCTGACAGTGGAAACTCACGCTACTCCCCGGAATCGAAGCTGCAACCTTTCAGTCAACAAGCTCAGCGCTTTAACCCACTGCACCACTGGGGGTTCCCTAGTATCTGTATCATCCATTTAATTTGTGTTTTCGTTTTGTTCCGTCCATTTGGATGGCATGGAACAGGAAGGCCCCTCCTGGAACAAAAATAAACTCGATACAAAAGGCAGGCGGAAGTGGGTACCGGCTCCAAGCCTGCTTTTCAGATCAGTTGCTGCATGCGTAGGCCCAAAGCCCCCGGGCCTGCACCCGAGCGCTGAGTAAGCAGTGTTCCTTACTTGGCACTCGGTTGCAGGCTCAGGTGCTTTGGGCCGACACTTTGGGTTATGGAGCAAGGCTACTGGCAGCAAACACAATGGGTCTTTACCTCATCAGCCAGGAAACCCTTTGACTCCCCAGATGGTGAGGCAAAACCTATTCAGAAGTGTGCGCTGGGAAGGGGAGCTTGGGTGGGAATCCCCTGCCCAATAATGGGCTGAAAGAAAACAAATCTTTCGGTACCGAAAAGCGAAAACAAATATCTGCTCTCACGATTTTGGTAGGCTCAGCAGAAACATTGGGAGCCCCTCCAAAAACTGGGACACGAAACTAATCAAGGTTTACCCTGAATGCACATGACTATTATGTAGTGTAATGTAATGGCCACGACTCAATGCTATGTGATTAATAATAATAATAATCATAATAACAACAACAACAACAAAGAACTGGTGGGATCACAAGCCGGAAAATGTTAGAATGAACACGCCAAACTCCTCTGGGACATCTGGATTCAGACAGACAGAGTTTTGGAGCACAATACTCCTGACCTCATGATCGTGTTAAAAAACAAAGTATGGATTGTCAATGTTGCAATCCCAGGTGACAACAGGATTGCAGAGAAACAACAGGAAAAGCTGACACGATATGAGGATTTTAAGATCGAATTGCAAAGACTCTGGCACAAGCCAGTAAAGGTGGTCTCAGTGGTGATCGGCACACTGGGTGCAGTGTCTAAAGACCTTGGCCTGCACTTAAACACAATTGGCGCTGACAAGTTACCATCTGCCAGATGCAAAAGGCCACCCTACTGGGATCTGCTTGCATTATCCGCCGATACATCACACAGTCCTAGACACTTGGGAAGTGTCCGATGTGTGATCCGATACAATAGCCAGCAGAGTGTCTGCTGTGGACTCATCTTGCTGTGTTTCAAATAATAATAATTTTATTTATGTTCCATCCTATCTCATTGAGGGGACTCAGGGCAATGCTGGGATTTGTAGTCTGGTGAGGCATTCACATCCTTTGACGGAGAAGGCTCAGGACCTTGTAAAACTACAGATCCCATAACTCCAGAGCATTGAACTAAGGCAATAAAACTGGATTAATTCTACAGCATAGATTCACCCCAAAGTTTCCGTTCTGTTGCTGGAAACTTTGGTGCTCTAATACATATGCTTATAAACAAATAATTCTAAGTATGCAGCTACTGTAACGGCCAAGTTATAAATACATTTTGGTGTTCCAGGGTTTTTAAAATAGGGGTGTGCATTACATTTGATGGCGCATGAGGCTTGTATCTAAGTCAACATGGTCTTGCGACTTACGGTCACGTGGTTGAACAGGTTCAGAGTCACGGAATCTCCATTGGCAGGCGTGGAGGTGATTCTGCTGGGAAAACGCTGGAGTGAGCCTGGTTTCCATTCGCAGGTCCCGTCTTTCTGGCAAGCAAGGACCAGCCCTTCCTTATTTCTGAGGTAAGCCGCACCTTTGATTCCATACCTGGGAGAGAAAGAGATGAGGCAATTATTATTATCCTTATATTTATTTATACCCCACTTTATCTCCCCTGAAGGAGACTCAAAGCGGCTAATGATTTTACCTATCTATCTAAGAAAAAATTATATAAATATGTGTATATATATATGTGTGAGTGCGTATGCATCTGTTTATGTCTGTATGCATTTTTCAAGGTGGTTCCCACATCCAGAGAGACTCCCACCAACGATGGATTTGGACCAAACTTGGCCAAAATCTCCACCATGACCAACAGAAAACACTGGAGGGTTTAGGAGGGAATGGACCCAAGATGATGGGAGTTGTAGTTCCCGTCACATTCAGAGACAGGATGGGAGTTGAAGTTCGCCGGGTTGTGGCACAGCTGGTTGGGAGTCAGCTGCATTAAAATCACTACTGACTGAGAGGTCATGAGTTCAAAGCCAGCCCGGGTTGGAGTGAGCTTCCGGCCATTTGTCTGGCTTGCTCTTGACCTTTGCAGCCCGAAAGACAGTTGCATCTGTCAAGTAGGAAATTTAGGTACCATTTATGTGGGGAGGCTAATTTAACTAATTTACAACACCACAAAACTCTCCAGCAGTGTGCAAAAGAATGAGGAAGTACTCTATCTGTGTCACAAGTGGACGGTGAAGTGACAGCTCCCTCAGTGGCCGGAATTCAAAAAAAGCATACCCTCATGAAGCTGGAAAGTTAAAAAGCCTCTGTGTCTCTGTCTATATATGTTGTGTGTCTATGGCATTGAATGTTTGCCATATATAAGTGCATTGTGATCCGGCCTGCGGAGTGGGAAGGGCGCAATATAAATGCTGTAAATAAATAAAATAATAACGAAATAAATATGTGATGAGCCTGTGAACTCTACCAGCAGTGGATCTGGAACAAATTTGGCAAGCATGCCCAATATGACTAACTTGATATACTGGAGAGGTTTTTTTTTTTTTTGGGGAGGGGGGATAATTAAGGATGATGGGAGTTGTAGTTCATGCCACAACCAGAAAGCACTGTGAACTTCATTGGTGGTGAAGCTGGACCAAACCTGGGACAGGTACCCAACATGGCCAACTTTAAGTCATTGGGGGGCAATAATACAGGAAGACTAGGGTTATAGCCCACCCATATTCTTATGCATTTTCTAATAAGTAGTCATTACAAAAGACCTGACGTAGGAGGCTTTGAACTGAACAAAATGAGAGTTCAATAAAAAGACTCACCCTTTGTAATATGGTCAATATAGTTGCCTGCTTAGAACTCATTCCGAAAAAACAAGTGTTTGGACACCAAAGCAACGGAAATGAAAACCTTGGGGTGCATCTATGCTGTGGAATGAATCCACTTAAATTGCCTTCATATGGAATCATGGATACTCTAATTTTGCAAGGTCTTAAGCTTTTCTGCCAAAGGATGCAAATGCCTCACCAAGCTAAACATCCCAGCATTGCATAGCATTGAGCCATGGCCATTAAATGAGAGATGAGGTCCTTACCGAGGAACGAAAACCAAGACGCCGTTGGTCCGGATGGAGTAGACCACTCCGTCCGCGGTGCACTGCTCTTCCCTTTCCTGGCCCTTGTCCTTGAAATACATGCACTGGAAAAGCTCGGTGGACTGTTTCTGCGCATGCTGGGCGGCCTATCCGAAAGAAAAGAAGGAAATTGAGCTCAAAATGCAGTTTTGCTTCAGGCATTTATGAGAGTTCCAAAGAATCAAAAGTCACAAAGTTCACACTCTTGATTTCTATCTGGCTCTTTAAAGTGGCTGAACCTACATTCATTGATTCATGTACAACGATCTACATTGATGCAAACAGAGCCATTGCTGTCTTCTGGAACATCTCCAAACCCTGAATTTCTTCCATTTCCTGTAGAAGCATGGGCCCCAATCTCCCATGTCCATCAATAAAAGCTCACCTTAAATCATTTATTTTTAAGTATTAATGCCAACAATATTATTGATTTATATTTAATTATCGTTTAATATTATTTTGCCATTGTATTGTGTGTTCAACTACTGGTAAATGCACCTGATCTGGCTGACAAGCTAAATTGGAGCTTGCTTTTGGGATAGGGTTTATATGAGGAGCGTCAAGCTAGGGTTTATTTTCCGGTGAGGCCTTATTTTCAGGGAAATGGGGATGGAGCCTGATGTTGGAGCAAGGGAGGCTTGGATGGCCTGCAACTTTGACTTTCCATTTGATTATCTTCTGGGAATGATGGGGAAACACCTTCCGAAGCTACAGAGAATCCTAGAGTTGGAAGGGACCCCAAGAGGCCATCCAGTCCAGCCCCTTTCTGCCTTGCAAGAAGGAACAATCCAAGTCCTACCAACAGATGGTCCTCTAACCCTTGCTTAATGAGCCCAGAGGATATATAAATTGATAGAATCCTAGAGTTGGAAGGGACCCCAAGGAATATAGTTCAGCCCCTTTCTGCTTTGCAGGAAGGAACAATTCAAGCCCTCCCAACAGATGGTCCTCCAGCCTTCATTTAATGAACCCAGAGAAGATAGCTATATAGACAGATAGGCGGTTTGATAGATAGAATCCTAGAGTTGTAAGGGACCCCAAGGGCCATCCAGTCCAGCCCCTTTCTGCTTTGCAGGAAGGAACAATTCAAGCCTTCACAATAGATGGTCCTCCAGCCTTCGCTTAATGAACCCAGAGAAGATAGACAGACAGCTTGATAGATAGATAGATAGAATCCAAGAGTTGGAAGGGTCCCCAAAAGGCCATCCAGTCCAGCCCTTTTCTACCTTGCAGGAAGGAACAATCCAAGCCCTCCCAACAGATGGCCCTTCAGCCTTTGCTTCATGAACCCAGAGGAAATATAGATAGAATCCAAGAGTTGGAAGGGACCCCAAAGGCCATCCAGCTCAGCCCCTTTCTGCCTTGCAGGAACAATCCAAGCCCTCCCAACAGATGGCCCTCCAGCCTTCCTTTAATGAACCCAGAGAACACAGACAGACAGCTTGATAGATAGATAGATAGATAGATAGATAGATAGATAGATAGATAGATAAGATAGATAAGATAGATAAGATAGATAAGATAGATAGATAGATAGATAGATAGATAGATAGATAGATAGAATCCTAGAGTTGGAAGAGAGCCCAAAAAGCCATCCAGTCCAGCTCCTTTCTGCCTTGCAGGAAGGAACAATCCAAGCCCTCCCAACAGATTGCCATTCAGCCTTCACTTCATGAACCCAGAGGAAATATAGACAGAATCCTATAAGGACTGCAAAGGCCATCCAGTCCAACCTCCTTCTACCAGGAAGACACCATCAAAGCCCTCGCGACAGATAGCCATTCATCCTCTGTTTACACACTTTAAAGAAGACCACTACATTCACAAGTCAGATCAGTTCGAATATTAGGCAAGCTCTCCTTGCCTAATGTTGAGGCGGAGAGCTGAAGCCCAGACTGCCTTTCTCTGCTAAGCCCCGGCCTCGGCTCTCACTCGCATCAAAGGCCTGATCGTCATACCCGGTTCCTGTTGTTGACGTGTCTGCAGAGTTCCTCCAGCTCCTTGTTTCCCAGGAAGCCGCCTTTGGACCCCACTTGATCTGCTTCCGAAGGGGTGGCCAACAACAGCCGGTGGACTACAATATCGGCATACCTCCGGATGGGGGACGTGAAGTGCGTGTATTTATCCAGGGCAAGACCTAGAGTTCGGGGAATGCCCCCCAAAAAGAAACACGAGTTAAGAAGACATCTAATGGATGTAGAAAGCTCTGCAGGCCTGACCCTCTCCCTCCCATCCTGACTTTGTTTACTCCAAACTAATGCTTACCTTTTGGGGCTAAATGACCTTGCTATTAAATTTGTGTTGTGTGGTTATCTTAGCGCTGAGCCAAAGCAAAAAGGGGGAGCTGCTTCAGGAGCTACACTTTGAGGGACCCCATCTCTCATTTAATGGCCATGGCTCAATGCCATGCAATTCTGGGATTTTTAGCTTGGTGAAGCATCAGCATCCTTTGGCAGGGAAGGCTTAAGACCTTGCAAAACTACTACATGACCCCATAGGAGGAGGGGACAGAGTGACAGATGGACAAAGAGGCCAATGAGGAAGGGCTTTTTCCTTGCCAAATAACTCATCTGCCTCTCTGAGCTTGGACAGAACTTGGCTGGGTCCAGACCATAAGGTGAGCAAAAGGAGAGCAGGTACCGTAGTGAGCAAACTCTTCTTCAGGGCAGGAGCCGGTTGAAAAGTAAACAGCGTTGGACATGGCCTGGGTGGCCATCGACCTCAGGAGCCGGTTCACAAGAGGGTCAGAGGGGTCGTCCGCTCGGTCCAGGGACTCCGCCAACGCCTTGTTCGACCTGGAAAGGTTTGACCTCTTCAGAGAATGCTCTGATTGTTTATTTATCGTGTCAGAGGTGAATCGAGAATATAGTTATGTTGCATAAAAAACCCCCACGAAGTTACAAACTTGGCATGCTAAATGTCCTTTGACCACAAACTTGTGGATTTATTTTTATATTTTATTTATTTATTTGTATGCTTATATACCGCAATATCTCAGCTTACAACGGCGACTCATTGCGGTTAACAGTACTTAAAAACAACAATAATCAAACAATTTAAAAGCATAAAAAACATATACAGTACACAGTATCGGGCCACCAATACCGACCAATGCATCTCTTAGTTAAAATCATAATCCGAATTCATCGTCAATAATTACCAGTCCTTAGTCATCAACTTCATCGCACCGGATTACCCGAATGCTTGTTCAAACATCCATGTCTTAAGTTTTTTCCGAAATACCAACAGCGAGGGAGCTGATCTTATCTCTATAGGGAGGGCATTCCAAAGCCGAGGGGCCACCACAGAGAAGGCCCTGTCTCTCGTTCCCGCCAGCCGCACTTCTGAAGCCGGAGGGATAGAGAGCAGGGACTCTCCAGAAGATCGTAGGGTCCTGGTGGGCTGATAGGCTGAGATACGTTCGGATAGATAGTTGGGCCAGAACCGTTTAGGGCTTTAAAGGCCAATGCCAGCACTTTGAATTGGGTCCGGTAGCTAATCGGCAGCCAGTGGAGCTGGTACAGCAGAGGAGTTGTATGCTCCCTGCGTCCTGCTCCTGTTAGTACCATGGCTGCCGCTTAGTACCATGGCTTCTCTGTGTAGCCTGACATGCTGGCTGTTAGAGTGGTCCATAATGACCAGCATGTCAGGAGAGAATGCTTCTGGAATGTGGCCATACAGTTTGGAAAATACACAGCAACCCAGTGTTTCCGGCCATGAAAGCCTTCAACAACACATTAATAATAATAATAATAATAATAATAATAATAATAATAATAATATCCCACTTCTATTCTATTTTGTCTATATATATATATTATATATATTCTCATGAAAGAAAAGGACAGCCTCACGTGGCTGGGGCTCCTCACCGGGTGTCTATGGCAAAGCCTTTGGCGGTGGCGCATTGCCGGAGCTCGGTGAAGAACTCCTGTCGTGGCGGAGGGTGCTGGCGCAGGAGGGCCCGATGAGGGAAGCGCCCGCAGACCTCTTTCGCAACCCAGTGATTGGCCAGGATCATGCACTCGGCCACCACCTCATGGGCCTCCAGTGGCTGCCGTGGCACCAGGTCCCCGATATTCTTCTGGGCATCCAGCTGGACTCGGACCTCCACCCCTTCCAGCTCCAGGGCTCCAAGGCAGTCCCGCCGGGCCCGCATGCGTCGCGCCACCTCCGCCAGCCGCCCCACAGCCCAGCACAGCTCCTCCACCTTCCGGGCCCTTGCTCCGCCATCCGGGAAGCCCACCAGCTCTGGGAGGTTCTTCACCACACTCAGGTCCCCGTCCAGCAATGCCTGGGCCACCTCGTAGGAGAGCTGGAAGGAGGAGCGGATGATGCTCCGCTTGTAGCAGACCTGCTTGATGTCGCAGGAAGCTTCGTCCAGCTCCCACAGGACACTCACCGCGTACCTTGGGAAAAGATACATAATGTCACCGTTTAGCACAGAAAGGGAATATGGCAGTGTAGACTCATATAATCCAACTGGTGGACAATTTGGATTCAGAAACTGGATTATATGGCCGTGTAGAGCCAGCCTTTGCCATTTTGAGGCCATTTTAACATGGTTAAAACAGTGAGGATTACAATACTATGCAACACTATTACAATAAAAATAGCAAATTTGGTGGCGCAGTGGGTTAAACTGCTGAACTTCTGAACTTGCCGACCGAAAGGTTGGCGGTTCGAATCCAGGGAGTGGGGTAAGCCCCAGCTTCTGCCAATCTAGCAGTTCGAAAACATGCAAATGTGAGTAGATCAATAGGTACCGCTTCAGCAGGAAGATAACGGCGCTCCATGCAGTCATGCTGGCCACATGACCTTGGAGGTGTTTACGGACAACACTGGCTCTTTGGTTTAAAAATGGAGATGAGCACCACCCCCCAGAGTCCGGCATGACTAGACTTAATGTCAGGGGAAACTTTTACATTTTTATCATTTTGGATAATAAGGGATAGTCAACATAGACTCCTGTTTATTGGATTAGCCTAATGTCATCTAATAATATGATTAGATTCATTCCCTTTAAAGGTTAGACTAGACTTAATGTCAGGGAAAACCTTTACATTTAGCTTTATAGCAAATATACAGAGGATAAAATAGAGATCCAATAATAATAATAATAATAATAATAATAATAATAATAATAATTCAATTCAACAGCCAGTAGAGTGTTTGCTGTGGACTCATCTTGTTGTGTTTCAAATAATAATAATAATAATAATAATAATAATAATAATAATAATAATTATTATTATTATTATTATTATTTGGAGCACAAGACTCCTTACCTCATGATCCTGGGAAAAAACCAAGTATGGATCGTCAATGTTGTAATCCCAGCAGGATTGAAGAGAAACAACAGGAAAGCTGACACAATACAAGGATTTAAAAATTGAACTGCAAAGACCGTGGCACAAGCCAGTCAAGGTGGTCCCAGTGGTGATCGGCACACTGGGTGCAGTGCCTAAAGACCTTGGCCTGCACTTAAACACAACCAACGCTGACAAAATTACCATCTGCCAGCTGCAGAAGGCCACCTTACTAGGATCTGCATGCATTCGCCAATACATCACACAGTCCTAGACACTTGGGAAGTGTGATCCAATACAACAGCCAGTAGAGCGTCCTTGTTTGCTGTAGACTCATCTTGTTGTGATTCAAATAATAATAATATTTTCCTCTAGTCCTCCAGTGCAATTCTAAAATTATTCATTAATAATAATAATAATAATAATAATAATAATAATAATAATTGTTAGTATTATTATTCCCTCTAGGCCTCCAGTGCAATTCTATGGCCAATGTCTTGCACCATTTCCAGCAGGAATTGACCACAGTGTCACAAGGCCTACCTTGCTTGAGACATAGATCAAATGCAACAACTCACCTGTCAACATTTCCAAGAAGAGAGCACAAATTGGCACTCAAGACAGCAGGCAGCATGTCGTAACGCCGGTCGGCTAGATAGTAAGTAGTGGCCCTGAGAAATTAGAGAAAAGGATGATGATGATGATGATGATACATTTATTACCTGGCACTCTTTAGGTAGCGCACAACATCATTAGTAAGGATGAGCTTTATAGTTCAGTTCCTGCCCAGCAAACAGGGCATGTATTGCAATGTATTGCAACACCTCACTATCTCTGAGGATGCTTGCCATAGATGCAGGCGAAACGTCAGGAGAGAATGCTTCTGGAACATGGCCATATAGCCCAAAAAAACCTACAACAACCTATTGCAATATGGACCAAAATTTGAAAATGTTCCTGTTCCTGGTTTGAAACTGTTATTTCCTGTTTGAGTGTGCGGTCCTGACTTTGAAAGTAATTCTTCTACTGCAGAAACTTTGTTTTTGTGGCTGCCACAAACTAGGTTGAATTTGTTGAGATATTAATTTCAAAATTAGAGCAAAATGTGCAATAGTAGGCTGTCCCACCAAAACAAAGTTTTGGCAGTTTAATAAACTTTTCACATGTTTCGATGATAGAACCAATTAGGAAATAACATTTATAACCCACAAACAAAGCTCATGTTGCATAGTGTAATAATAATATATTATTATTGTCTCCAAAGGAAGTATAAGAATGTTTAAACACTGAATATGTTTAAACTGCCATAAATAAAAGTTTAAAAAGGAACTTGCCTAGCTCTGGCTTCGATATCAGTGTAAGAACCCGCAGCCACAAAGTGAGTGACGTCGGCAATGTGGACACCCAGCTCCAAGTTTCCGTTGGGTAGTTTCCGGATCGAGAGCGCGTCATCCACATCTTCACAGCCTTCCGGATCGATGCTGAACACTAAATGTGTGTTGCGCAGGTCTATGCGCCTCCGCTCTTCCTCCGGAGACACTTCCCATGGTTTTTCGGGGATGACGGACGGCATCTCGCACATCTGCAGGAACCAAACCCTTCTGGTCAGCCGTAAGGCACATAAGACGGACATCTAGTCACATGCTCTCAACCAGCACATGAAGAAACCAATTATTTGGTTGCTCATATAACGAAAGCAGAAAAGTGAGACTTACAAGATGATAGGGACAAAAGGCTTGTCCTTGTAATATGTGGCAAATGAGTTTGGTTTATTATTTTTATTATTATTATTAGAGCTGTGCATTATTATTATTATTATTATTATTATTATCTAGCCTGTGCTGATTAATATCATTATTATTATATATTATATAATAATAATAATAATAATAATAATAATAATAATTTTTTAAAATGAACACTTCAAACTACTATGGGACTTCCGAATTCAGACTGACATAGTTTTGGAGCACAATACTCCTGACGTCACAATCATGTTAAAAAACAAAGTATGGATCGTTGATGTTGCAATCCCAGGTGACAGCAGGATTGAAGAGAAACAACTGGAAAAGCTGACACGATATGAGGATTTAAAGATCGAACTGCAAACGCTCTGGCACAAACTGGTAAAGGTGATCCCAGTGGTAATCGGCACACTGGGTGCAGTGCCTAAAGACCTTGGCCTGCAATTAAACACAATCAGCACTGACAAAATCACCAGCTGCCAGCTGCAGAAGGCCACCTTACTGGGATCTGCATGCATTATTTGCCGATACATCACACAGTCCTAGACACTTGGGAAGTGTCTGACGTGTGATCCAATACAACAGCCAGCAGTGTGATCTTGTTTGTTGTGGACTCATCTTGTTCTGGTTCTAATAATAATAATAATCTGTCCTATGGTTTTAATGCTTTGTTATATGTGGATAATTTGATATATGATGTTTTCACGTGTAAAGCATTGAATTTTGCCAAAGAACCACCTTGAGTCCCCCCCAGGGATGAGAAAAGCATTATATAAATACAATAAATAATAAATAACTGTGCATCTGCATCATCATCATCATCATCATCATCATCATGCTTGAGATACTGTTTTCCATTATAGACAACAACAACTATTATTATTATTATTATTATTATTATTATTATTATTATTATTGTGTTTCAAATAATAACCCACTGCGCCACCGGGAGCTCCATTACACATTAGAGAGCAATCAATTGTAATTTAATCAGTGAATCAAATCCACCCGAAACACAAGTAAGAGGATCTAGTCTGACCTGTGCTTCGGAGAAGGGGCTCACAGAGATGCTGTTTTCCACCAAGATGGTTTGGATCTCGCTCTCGAGGTCTCCAATCCTCCCCAAAACCCGCACAAAATGCCCGTTTGGATACAGGGATGTTGACTCCCAGGAATCGATGCGCACAACAACGCGGAAGTCCTTTGGCAAAGCAAGAAAAAGACATAAGAAAAGTCAGGCCATGACTGTAAACGTTGCCAAAGGACAGGCTAAGATGATGCTTGCTCTACCTGCAGGGCTTCGGCTTGCTGCGTACTGATCCTGATCTTGGGGATCCGGTAATCCCACGGTGTGACCAGGACCTTCTGAGCAGCTTTGCCGTGAGACTGGCTCTCCTCCTTGGATGGAAACGTGACCACAAAGTCGCGCCAGTTCTTCTGCAGGAGGCCGACGATTTTCCCTTCGGAAAGAAAAATCCAGTTGAGCGCATAGGAACAGGCATGGGCCAACTTTGGACCTCCCTCCAGGTGTTTTGGACTATTAATTCCCACAATTCCTAATGGCCTTTGGGGGGCCCTTCCAACTTTGAGATTATATTATTATAAAAGGGGCTGGATGGCCATCTGCTGGGAGGGCTTTGATTGTGCTTTTCCAACATGAAGACAGAAGGAGGTTGGACTGGATGGCCTTTGGGGGGGCCCCTTCTGACCCACCTGTGGGCATGGGTTCACCAGAAGCCTCCCCGGAGGTCTTGTCCTCGGCCTCATTCTCACAGAGGGCGGCTGTCCGGCCCTTCCATTCACTCCGCGGCAGCAATTCAACTGCGACCACATCCCCGTGGATAGCCCTGTTGCGTGCTTTGGTGCCGTGGATGAGGACGTCAGTTGTGAGATCTGAATGAATGGAGACCCAGGAAGAATATATTTCATCTTGTACATTAGCCTGGGTTGGGTGCCAAAGCTAACTAACACAAATCCGAAGCGATATATAGAAGCTCGCACCTTTCTCTTTGTTGCTGGATCCTTGCAGCCGCACAAAGGCTTCCACTTGCGCCCGGTGTTTGTTCACATTCAGGACTCCCTGGATAGAGATAGATAGACAGATGGATAGACAGATGGATAGACAGATGGATAGACAGATAGATAGATAGATAGATAGATAGATAGATAGATAGATAGATAGATAGATAGATAGATAGATATAGAGAAATGGATGGATGGAGATAAATAGATGGATGGATGGATGGATGGATGGATGGATGGATGGATAGATAGATAGATAGATAGATAGATAGATAGATAGATAGATAGATAGATGAAATGGGTAGACCAATATAATAGGATGGATGGATGGAGATAAATAGATGGATGGATGGATGGATGGATGGATAGATAGATCGATAGATGAAATGGGTAGACCAATATAATAGTATGGATGGATGGAGATAAATAGATAGATGGATGGATGGATGGATGGATGGATGGATGGATAGATAGATAGATAGATGAAATGGGCAGACCAATGTAATACGATGGATGGATGGATGGATGGAGATAGATAGATAAATAGATAGATAGACAGACAGACAGACAGATAGATACAGTTGGATGGATGGATAGATGGATATGTGACATGGGTAGACCAATGTAATATGATGGATGGAGATAGATAGATAGATAGATAGATAGACAGATAGATATGGATAGATGGATGGATAGATAGATAGATAGATAGATAGATAGATAGATAGATAGATAGAGATGGATGGATGGATGAATGACTAGATAGATAGACAGATAGATAGATAGATTGATAGATAGATAGATAGATAGACAGATAAATGGATGGATGAAATGGGTAGACCAATGTAATAGGATGGATGGAGACAGATAGACAGATAGACAGACAGACAGACAGATAGAGATGGATGGATGGATGGATAGATAGATAGTTCTGGCTCTTCTTGTGCCCTTAACCCCTGTGATTGACTACCTGCAGGAACCTGCCGGACTTGATCCCAGCAACCAGGGCTTCCGGGGGGATGTGTTCCGCATACTCCTTCCCGCCGCTCTCCTGGCCTTCACTCTCACGCCGCGACTGCAGCACCGACTCAAAGAGCTCATGTGCTGCTTTCAGGTCAGGCCAGAAGTTGTCCAGATAATCCTGTGAAGACCGATAATAATAGACAAGAGCTATGGTTGACCCTCTTTTCACCAATTTCGTACAATATTGAAATGCAGTCACAAATGGTGCCGGAAGTGAAACCAACCCTTTATAAGAGATTCATACAATACATATATTATATTATATATATGTTATGTGAAGTATGTGAAGACATTTGAATTTTGCGTTTATAATTTTGGAAACTGCTTTGAGTTCCCTTAGGGGGAGAAAAGCAATATATAAGTGTTTATATATATATATATATATATATATATATATATATATATATATATATATATAAAATACACACTTATATATTATATGTATGTCTTCACATACTTCACATTAATATATGTATTGCATATATCTATAATACGCTTATCATACAATACATATATTATTGTCTGTCTCTCTATCTATCTATTATGTATAAGGAGAAGTAATGCCCCTCTAGAATTGATGTTTTTCCTGCTATTGTTTGGCTTTGGGGTGCTCCAGAGCCATGGGAGTTGTAGTTTTACCTTAAACGAAATCACAAACACGCCTTCTGTCTCACTTCCGAGCTGCTTGATGGCATCCTCATCATCTGTTACCATGACTATGGGCATCCGTCCCGAAAAGTGGTTGTGGTACCACACGCAGGCATTGTAGATGCTCCTAGGAAAACAACAACAACAACATCATGAGACATCTTTTTTTAAAAAAATGCATGCAATTTCTACTATCAGGAGTGCGTCTACACAGTAGAATTAATGCAGTTTGACACCACTTTCACTGTGATGGCTGAAAGCACAGGAGTTGTAGTTTTGCAAGGCCTTTTAGCCCTCTCTGCAAATACAGATTGAAGTCTGGACAACAAATTTCTAACAACATCACTGGTGTTTTCGGCCATCAATGCTGCATTATTATTATTATTATTATTATTATTATTACTATTACTATTATTATCTAAATAAATAAAAATGTAATGCTCGTTTGTGGGATTAACAGAACTCAAAAACCACTGGACGAATTGACACCAAATTGGGACACAAGACACCTAACAACCCAATGTATGTCCATCACTCAAAAAAACTGATTTTGTCATTTGGGAGTTGTAGTTTCTGGGATTTATAGTTCACCTACAATCAAAGAGCATTCTGAATCCCACCAAAGATGGAATTGAACTTAACTTGGCACACAGTTCTCCCATGACCAACAGAAAATACTGGAAGGGTTTGGTGGGCAGTGTCCTTTGGTTTTGGAGTTGTAGTTCACCTATATCCAGAGATCACTGTGCACTCATACAATGATGGATCTGGACCAAACTCTACACAAATACTCAATATGACCAAATGTGAACACTGGTAGAGTTTGGGGAAAATAGAATCTTGACATTCGGGAGTTGTAGTTGCTGGGATTTATGGTTCACTTACAATCACAAAGCATTCTGAACCCCACCAACAATAGAATTGGGCCGAACCTCCCACACAGGACCCCCATGTGGGCCAGGGCGACTCGTGGCAGGGATGGCTAGTATTTATTATAAGAAGTATTATATTGCTCCCCGTCTCTGGAACACTCTTCCAAGGGAAATAAGACAGGCCCCATCCCTCCCCTCCTTTTGTAAGAGCTTGAAGACTTGGTGGTTTCAACATGCCTTTGAGAATGACCAGTTCTAGTCCAGCCCCAAACATTATTGAATATGGCCTTGCACTTCTTACCTATTACACCAGTCATCCCTCTAATAGGCCCTGGAAATGAGCAGCCACAGACCCATACCTGCTATTGCTGTTAGTCTGTTATAGCACTGTACTTAATTCCCGGCCCCCTCATATTTTGAGTTTGCACTAGCCTTGGCCCGGCTTTTTAATTGCTCTGAATAGGCAGGATTATTTTTAATATACATGTGTTATTGTGATAATTTTATGCTTATATTGTTTTGTTAATTTTATGTTATGCTGTTTACTTTGTATGTTTCGTTGATGTTACTTGGAAACCGCTCTGAGTCCCCCACGGGTATATAAATAAAGTTTTATTATATTATTATAAAAACATTGATACTGATACGAAAAAAAAATCTTCACTGTGTTAAATGTTTACATAGATATATATATTCTATCATCATCATCATCATCATCATTTTGAGTCTTCTTATGGAGAGAAAAAGCGGGAAATAATAATAATAATAATAATAATAATAATAATAATAATAATAATAATAATGTGCCGCTTTTTCTGTCTTAATAAGTATTATATTGTTGCACAAAAACTTTCCTACTGATATGAAAAAAATATTCCCCATGTTAAAAAGTCTGCATAGACATACACACTCATATAATATTCATTTTTTTATTATTATTGTTATATTTATATGGCACTTTTTCTCTCTTAATAAGAGATATCTTATTACCCATAAACATTGTTACTGATATGAAAAAATTATTACCTGTGTTAAAAGGTCTGAACATGCACACACACACATATATAACTCATTAATTAATTAATTAATTAATTATATGCTTTCTCTCTCTTAATAAGTATAATAATAATAGTTTTGATAATATATGATATATATTATTCATTTATTATTATATTTATATGCTGCTTTTTCTCTCTTAATAAGAGAAATATTATCACCCTAATTGAAAAAGTTCTTCCCTGTGTTAAAAGGTCTGCGTACACACACAACCCACACACACACACATATGTATTGCCGAAGGCTTTCATGGCCAGAACTATAATATAATATTTCTAGGCCGCTTTTTCTCTCTTAATAAGAAATGTTATATTATTATTGTGTATACAATGTTTTAATACACACACACACACACACACACATATATATATCTCATATATATATCATTTATCATAATATTTCTATGCCGCTTTTCCTCTCTTAACAAGATTATATTATCACTCAAAAGCACTCCTACCAATAATAATAATAATAATAATAATAATAATAATAATAATAAATACATACCGTGTCTGCCACTTTTCCAAAGGTTCCCCCTTCTCTCTCGGCAAATACGAAAGCAGCTGGAATTCATTAAAAAACATAACGCAATCGTGACGGGCGTCTCTCACTAAATTCCGCAGTTTATTGTATTGTCTGTAGAAGAACAGGAAAGGAAAGGCACTTATTGCAAAACAACACAATGTGACTCTTTATTCTGTAATAAAATTATTATAATAATGAAATAATAATTAATAATTAAATTAATATTAAATTGTTATTATTATTATTCTGTAAGAAATTAAATGATTATATTAAATCAAAATTAATAATTAAATTAATATGCTGCTTTTTCCTCCCTTAAAATTATTATTATTATTATATTCCGTAAGAAATAAAATGATTATATTAAATAATAATTAATAATTAAATTTATATGCTGATTTTCTCCCTTAAAATTATTATTATTATTATTATTATTATTATTATTATTATTATTATTATTCCATAGCTATGTTTTGCAACAGGGAAGATTCACTGTTGCTGTTGGCTGTTGCCAAAATGTAATTGCTTTCCTCTTCCTTCTCTTTCTTCCTTTTTTCCATTTATTTCAAAACGTCCCTTAGATTTTGTATTCCGGGCTCCTCTTTAGAGTGCTCAGAATATATGAGGTACTTTATAAGCTATTAATAATTATTATTAATAATAAATCAAATGTCAAACAGGATAGAATCGTTAGCGGCGCCCTCACACAATTAATTCCTAGTTAATAATGTAAAAGGCAGAGGCTGTTCTAAAATTTATATAATTCAGTATGGATGCTAATTAATTACAATTAATAAAAAATGACCCTGCCAGTATGGTCTTCCAAAAACACTGCCTTGAAAAGCTTAATATTCAGAGATGAATACAGGCACCCTGGAAATAATTAAGGAGTCAAAGCATATTTATAATATATACTGGTAATATATATATTCCACAAAGGCTTTTGCTAGGTGAAGTGGCCTTCTGTGATGTCACTGGGCTGGCTATTGCTGGGTGAAGTGGTTTTCTGCAATGTGACTGGGAAAGAAAGGACTTGGTTGCCACTAAGGAACATGTGTTATGTATGAGAGGGAAAGAAAGAAGAGAGGAAAGAGGAAAAGGAAGTAAGGGAAGGAGTGAGGGAGAAGAAAGTGAGCGAGAGAGAGAGAGCGAGAGAAAGAGAGAGAGAGGGAGGAGGGAAGGGAAGGGAAGGGAAGGGAAGGGAAGGAAGGAAGGAAGGAAGGAAGGAAGGAAGGAAGGAAGGAAGGAAGAAAGCAAAAAGATGCCAAAAGGGACAAAAAATAGAAGGGAGGAAAGAAACACATAAAAAGAGAAAAGAAGAGATGGAGGGGGGGAGGGAGGGAAGAAAAAAAAAAGAAAGAAAGAAAAAGAAAGAGGAGGACAGGGAAGGAAAAAAAGAAAGGAAGAGAAAGAATGGCAAAAGGGGACAAAAATAGAAGTGAAAATGTAATAGAAAGGAAGAGAAAGAAAGAAAGAAATGGAGGGAGGGAAGGAAGGAAAGAAAGAAAAGAAAGAAAGGCAAGAAGGTACAGAAGAAAGAGGAAGAAAGGAAGAGAAAGGATGCCTAAAAAGGGATGAAAAATGTGGTGGGGAGGGAATACAAGGGAAGAGAAAAGAAGGGATGGAGGGAAAGATGGAAGGAGAGAGGGAAGAAAGAAAAAAAGGGGAAAGAAATGAAATTATGAAGGGACAGCGGGAGAGAGGGAAAGGAAGAGGAGAAAGAAGGGATGAAGGGAGGGGGGAAGAAAGAAAAAAGGGAAGAGAAAAGAAAGGAGGAAGGGATGGAAAGAAAAAAAAGGGATGGATGGAAGAACCAAAGAAAGAAAGAAAGAAAAAGGAGGAAAGAAGGAAAAGAGAAAGGATGCTGAAAAAGGGACAAAAAATAGAAAGAAAGGAAAAAATAAACAGAAGGGAAGAGAAAGGAAGGAATGAAGGGAGCGAGGGAGGGAAGAAAAGAAAATAAGGAATGAAGGGAAGAATGGAGGGAGTGGGAGAGAGAGGGAAGAAAGAAAAATAATGGATGAAGGGAAGAATGGAAGGATTGATGAAAGTAAATTAAGATATAAGAAGTATAAATTTTAAGTATTAAACATACAATATTTTCAGATATGTACATGATGTATAAGTAGTATTGATTAAATATTAATGTAAGGAAAGAAATAAATAAAATGTTAATATATCCTATGGGTAGTATATTGATGTAGGAAGGAAGAAGGAAGGAAGGAAGGAAGGAAGGAAGGAAGGAAGGAAGGAAGGCGAGGCAGGCAGGCAGGCAGGCAGGCAGGCAGGCAGGCAGGCAGGCAGGCAGGCAGGCAGGAAGGGGGAAAAGGATGGGTGGATGGAGGGAAGTAGGAAAGAAAGAAAGAAAGAAAGAGGGAAGAGAAGTGAAGGAAAGAAAGAAGGGATACATGTGCTGTTCCCCACCTTGAGCCTCACAGAGAGGCAGCTGACAAATAATAATCTATATAAATAAAATGTAATGTTTGTTTGTAGGATTGACATAACTCAAAAACCACTGGATGAATTGTCGCCAAATTTGGCCACAAGACACCTACTAACCAAATAGTGACCATCATTCAAAAAAATTGATTTTGTCATTTGGGAGTTGTAGTTGCTGGGATTTATAGTTCACCTACAATCAAAGAGCATTCTGAATTCCACCAATGATGGAATTGAACCAAACTTGACATACAGGACTCCCATGACCGACAGAAAACACTAGAAGGGTTTGGTGGGCATTGACCTTGAGTTTGGGAGTTGTAGTTCACTTACATCCAGAGAGCACTGTGGACTCAAATAATGGTGAATCTGGAACAAACTTGGCACGAATATTCCATATGCCCAAATATGAACACAGATGGAGTTTGGGGAAAATAGATCTTGACATTTGGGAGTTGTAGTTACTGGGATTTATAGTTCACTTACAATCAAAGAGCATTCTGAACCCCACCAACGACAGAATTGGGGCAAACTTCCCACACAGAACCCCCATGACCAACAGAAAATACTTAAGGCCATCCAGTCCAACTCCCTTCACCAGGGCAAGAAAACGTAATCAAAGCCCTCCTGGTAAAGAGCCATCCAGCCATAGATATAGATAGATATATATGATTCACACACACAGAGAGATATATAGTATCATAGATTTGAAAGGGACCCCTAAAAAGGACAATGATATATTGCACATTCCATACTAGGCAAACCAGGCACTCTCCACATCAACACTGACAAAGAAACAACAAAAAATACTGTTTACCCACAAGCATAAAGAAATTACATAGATTAGAAACCAACACTTTCTCATCACTTTATTTTCCAGATCACTAGACTGGGCCACAGCAACACCTGGCAGGGGGCAGCTAATAATAATAATAATAATAATAATAATAATAATAATAATAATAATAATAGCAGCAACAATAATCATCCTCTACCGCTAGTTTTGGAAAAGCACATCCCGGTCAAAGGCAATGCCAGTGACAAAGTATTTGCATTAACTTGCCTTGTGATGGCGGAAGACCGGGATATTTCCATTTCCCTCTGAAATATATTCAAAGATATAATCATAATGCTATAATTAATGTCGAGGCGAGAAATCCCTGATTAACTTCTGGAGTCTCAAGGGGCTTCCCGGGACGGATGCATGTGCAAAGAAGTAGTAGCGGCACATCATTAACCTTTTGTCTGTCTAAAAAAGGAACTTTAAAGCGGGAACACCATCTGCTGAATGCAAGTTAACTCTCGGAAGGGACCCACGAAGGCCATCCAGTCTGACCTCCTTCTGCTGGTCATCAAAGCCCTCCCAACAGATGGTCATTGTCTCATGAACATTAGAAGGTTCATTGAGAACTAGGGCAATAGAATCCTGGAGTTTGAAGGGACCCTCAAAGGTCAACCAGTCTGACCTCCTTCTGCCAGGCAGGACACCATCAAAGCCCTCCCAATAGATGGCCATCTAGTCGCATTGACATAAGAAAGTTTATAGAGAAACAGGGCTATAGAATCATAGAGTTGGAAGGGACCCCTAAAGGCCATCCAGTCTGACCCCATTCTGCCAGGCATCAAAGCCCTCTCTATAGATGGACATCCAACCTCATAGGCATTAGAAGGTTCATGGAGAAATAGGGCTATAGAATCATAGAATCCTATGAGTTGTAAGGGATCCCCAAAGGTCATCTAGTCTGACCTTCTGCCAAGCACCAAAGCCCTTCATTCAACCTCATAAACATTAGGTCAATGGAGAAACAGGGCTATAGAATCATAGAATCCTAGAGTTGTAAGGGGCCCTCAAAGGCCAACCAGTTTGACCTCCTCCTGCCAGGCAGGACACCATCAAAGCCCTCCTGACAAATGGCCATCCATTGAGCTCTGCAAGTGCAGCATTTTCCAGAATGAAGCAGAAAGTGTTTGAGGACCGGGACATCCGTAGGGATACCAAGGTGCTTGTTTATAAAGCTATTGTCCTCCCAACCCTGCTATATGCCTGTGAGACGTGGACTGTCTACAGACGTCACATGCAGCTCCTGGAACGTTTCCGTCAGCGCTGCCTCCGGAAAATCCTGCAAATCTCCTGGGAAGACAAGCGGACAAACGTCAGTGTGCTGGAAGAAGCAAAGACCACCAGCATTGAAGCGATGGTCCTCCAACATCAACTCCGCTGGGCCGGCCACGTTGTCCGGATGCCTGACCACCGTCTCCCAAAGCAGTTGCTCTACTCCGAACTTAAGAACGGAAAACGGAATGTTGGTGGACAGGAAAAGAGATTTAAAGATGGGCTCAAAGCCAACCTTAAAAACTCTGGCATAGACACTGAGAACTGGGAAGCCCTGGCCCTTGAGCGCTCCAGCTGGAGGTCAGCTGTGACCAGCAGTGCTGCAGAATTTGAGGAGGCACGAGTGGAGGGTGAAAGAGAGAAATGTGCCAGGAGGAGCGCGTCAAGCCAACCCCGACCGGGACCACCTTCCACCTGGAAACCAATGCCCTCACTGCGGAAGAAGATGCAGAGCAAGAATAGGGCTCCACAGCCACCTACGGACCCACAAGGAAATCCATAATGGAAGACCATCTTACTCGTCCAACGAGGGATCGCCTAAGAAGAAGAAGAGAAGAAGAAGAAGAAGAAGAAGAAGAAGAAGAAGAAGAAGAAGAAGGCCATCCAACCTCATAAACATTAGATGGTTCATGGAGAAACAGGGCTATAGAATCCTAGAGCTGGAAAGGACTCCCAAAGCTATCCAGTCAGACCTTGTGCTGGGAATCAAAGCCCTCTTAACGGATGGCCATCCAACCTCATAACCATTAGAAGGTTCATGGATAAACAGGGCTATAGAATAATAGAATCCTAAGAGATGGGACCACCAAAGGTCATCCAGTCTGACCTTCTTCTGCCAAGTGTCAAAGCCCTTTCGACAGATGGCCATCCAACCTCATAAACATTAAAAAGTTCATGAAGAAATACAACTAAAAAATCACAAAATCCTAGAGTTGAAAGGGACCCCCAAAGGCCATCTAGTCTGACCCCCTTCTGTCAGACATCAAAGCCCTCCTTACATATGGTCATCCAATCTCATACACATTAGAAGATTCATGGAGAAACAAGGCAAGGAATCCTGGAGTTGGAAGGGACTCCCAAAGGCCATCCAGTCAGGACACCATCAAAGCCCTCCTGACAGATGGTCATTCAGTCTCACACACATTGGAAGGTTTATGGAGAAACAATGCTATAAATTAATATTAATAATAATAAAATTGTATATTATATATTATATTACAATAATAAATTTCTATATAATATATATTATAATAATATAATTCTATGTAATGTATATGATATTATAATAATAGAACTCTATATATTGTGTATTATGTAATAATATAATTCTATATTATATATAATAGGATCCTACAATTGAAAGGGACCCACAAAGGCCATCCAGTCTGACCTCCTTCTGCCAGACAGGACACAATCAAAAGCTTCCCAACAGATGACCAGATGGCTGCATTGAGATTAGAAAGTTTATGGAAAATCTGGGCTATAGAATCAAAGAATGCTAGAGCTGGAAGGGATCCCCAAAGGCCATCCAGTCTGAGGACACCATCAAAACACTCCCGACAGATCGCCACCCTTTGAGGAATTTGCAGAACAGGCTTTCTTAACATTGAGAGACAGAAAGCATGAGTTCATGCGCCATCTATCTATCAATCATTGCAAAGGTAGCAATGAGAACTCAAGGTGCGTCTGCACTACAGAGTAAACGCAGTTCGGTACCACTTGGAACTGCTCAGTACTACTGAATCACAGAGTTGTATTTTTACTGAGCCTCCTTTGCCTAAACTCAGATGATAACATAGCACTGAGCCATGGCGATAAAGTGGTATCAATCTGGGTTAATTTCACAGTGTAGATGCAGGTCTGGAAGGTACCTGCGGCCCCTCTGGTGTTGCATGGCTTGGCAGGCCGTCTGCATGAAGACGATGCCCTTCATCTCAGGGAATTCCAGGATTTCCAGGTAATCTTGCACCGCCTTCCAGTCCGGAACCACGTAATGGGTCGCATCATCGGAGAGCAATTTCCCATCTGAAAAGAGAACATAGGTCTTAGTCACTGAAATGCACTAAATAATGAAGCGGAACTCTGTATATGCTCAATAGCATATACCAAAAAAAAAAAAGGTGAAGACCTGGATGTTTGTGCAGGCGTTTGAGTAATTTAGTGCAATCTGGTAATGGAACATAGGAATGGAACAATGGACGACGAACCTGGACTACGCTTGGATGATAAGATTGGGTACGGTTGTTTTTTGTAATAATTGTGCATTGTAATTGCTTATTGGTAATTTATGGATAATGTGTTAAGTCAATTGTTATATGTTGTATGGAACCACTGCTGTTTCTACTGTTTTTACTGTTTGTGAACCGCTGTGAGTCACCTTCGGGCTTGAGATACAGCGGTATATAAGCAAAGTAAATAAATAAATAAATAAATAATAGCACCAGACTATTTTTGTATGATTATTATTTCTATATATATATATATATATATATAATTTTTATCTCTTCTTTTTTCTCTCTTCTATCTTTCTATGTTTCCCACTTTTCTTTATTATTGTTTACACAAAATACCCCTTTCCCCACCTTTTTACCATTAATAAAATTTATTTTAAAAAATAGCACCCTGTGTTGTTTCCTGACCTCTTATTCCAACTTAATCTCAAGGCCCCGCCCCTTTCCCTGACAGCCCCGCCCCATTCATATAAGACCACACTTCTTTCTCACAGGCCCCGCCCCTTCCCCCCGCTTGGCCCGCGCTCTCCTGACGCATGCGCACTCTCTCTCACCTCTGGGGCAGCCCGCCCGGCAGAGGGCGCTGCCGCAGGGCACGTGGGACCGTAAGTAGTGCTCGCGCACGACCCGCACGGAGCGGCCTTGCGGGCCGCGCAGCAGCAGCACCTTCTCCGTCCGCAACATCCGGGCACTAAGACCCAAAAGGGGCGGGGCGCGGCCTTAGAGTCCCTCCCCCGCTGGGATCGCCTCCTCCGATTCGCTCTCGCCGCCGCCAATCCCGCGTGAGAGGCGGGGCCACCTTCTGAAACTGGGGAAAGGGGAAGTGGCGCCTTTGAGAGGGCGGGGCCAGCACTGAGAGAAACACAAGAATGGAGCCGAGAAAGAGAAAGAGGCGGGGCTAGCCTGGAGTGGGCGGAGCCATCTCCGGGAGCAATGCAGGGGCGGAGCTAGGGCAAGAAAGGGGCGGGAGTCAGCATGGAGTGACTCAAAAACGGAGAAAGGGGCGTGGCTATCATGAGATAGGGGAGGGGCCAGCATCGAAATGAGAAAAAGAAAGGGGCGGGGCTAGAATAGAGTAGGCGGGGTATATCTGGTAGGGGCGGGGCTAAAGCGGGAGAGGGGCGGGGCCGGCTTTGAGAACGAGAAAGGGGCGGGGCTTAGCCTGGAAAGGGGCGGGGCTTAGCCTGGAAAACAGATCCTTTGGCAGATGGCTAAGGGAAGAGAAAAGGGGCGGGGCCAGTATGGAGATAAGTGGGCGGGGCCAGCATGGAAAGCAACCATAGAGCTGAGAAAGGGGCGGGGCTGTCTTAGAGTGGAGTGGGCGGGGCCATCTTCTAAGGGGGCGGAGCTAAGAAGGGAAAGGGGCGGGGTGGAACTAGAAGAGGGCGCAACTAAAGTGGAGTCAAACCGCATTAATTCCACAGTGTAGATGCACTCTCGTTTGCAAGCCAAATAAATTAGGAGACAGAGTCCAAAAAAGTACTAGGCTTTAACAACAATAACAACAACAACAGTTTGGATTAAGCAGTTTTGGAATAATAATAATCATCATTGGAATTAAGCAGGCAGATCTGAACTTCCAATTGGAATTCATTGGCCTAGTAATACAATATAACAACAACAATAAATGCCCTCTTTATTAATAGTTTTCATTCCCTTTTGGGGCCAGATTGGAACCCCTCATTTGCCAAAGATTGATAGTTTATGGGGAAATGAGCCCAAGGCTGCAAAGAGACAGGGATTTGTGTGTATATATAGGTTTTTAAGAGCTGCTATTCTGCACTCGTTAATATCTGGTCTGGAGTGGCACGTCAGGCATATTATTATGAATTATTTAATAAAAGGGATTGAATAAAATGAAGAGAAGTCTGCTTTTTCACATCTGCAGAAGAGCGATGGATCATCTCTTGGCGTTTTAATCTTGCAAGCCTTGCATTGTGTTGAATACAAAATGCAGTATTTCTCCCCAACAGGTCAGTATTTTTCTTTGCATTTTGAGAAATTAATATTATTCTTATTCTATTATTATTATTATTATTATTATACACAACAAGATTAGTTGTTGCATGGCTGTTGCATTGACTCACACTGTCTAGGACTGTGTGATGTATTGGCGAATAATGCGTCCAAATCCGAGTAGGGTGGCCTTTTGCAGCTGACAGATGGTTATTTTGTCAGCCTCGATTGTTTTTAAGTGCAGGCCAACGTCTTTAGGCACTGCACACAGTGTGCTGATCACCACTGGGACCACCTTTACTGGCTTGTACCAGAGTATTTGCAGTTCGATCTTTAAATCCATTATTATTATTATTATTATTATTATTATTATTGTAGGTCCAATTCAGGAGACAGACCACAAAGGGCAACAAAGAGAGTAGATCTAATCTAGGGATGCATGTTGCTTTTAAAATTCTTAGCAATCAATCCTATGGATTATTATTATTATTAAAATTAATATTTATAATAATATAGTAATAATATAATAGTAATAGTAATAATAATATAATTCTATATATTATATAATAATAAAATTATATATTATATTACAATAATAAAATTCTATATAATATATATAATAATATAATTTTATGTAATGTATATGATATTATAATAATAGAAATCTATATATTCTGTATTATATAATAATATAATTCTGTATTAAATACAATAATACAATTACATTTAATATATAAGAGGCCCTGCTCTCGATCCCACCGGCCTCACAGGTGCGGCTGGTGGGGACGAGAGACAGGGTCTTCTCGGTGGTGGCCCCTCGACTCTGGAACTCCCTTCCACTGGAGATCAGAACTGCCCCTTCTATCTTAACGTTCAGGAAACAGGTGAAAACTTGGCTTTAGGGACTGGCATTCGACGAATGAGCCATGATCCTGTGATATGGATGGATGACGACGAATAATGATGTTTGAAGACGATTGACCACTGTAATTATAGGATTGTATTTTGCTATTTTAATGTTTTAGTGTGATTTAGAATATGATGTTTAATGACTGTCTGTAATATTGATGTTGGAAACCAGCCTGAGTCCCTCGAACGGAGGTAATACAAAATGGCTAAATAAATAAATAAATAAATAAAATATATTATATTATAGTAATAATAAAATTATTTAATGTATATGTTATTTAATAATATAATTACCTATAACATATTATTTAATAATAACATAATCTATGTAATGTATATTATATTTTAATAATATAATTCTATATGAGATATATTATATAATAATTGAATCACACATTTATTACATAATAATAAAATTATATATTTTATATATAATGATAATGATAATAATAATTAATACTCACAAAGGAGACTCCAAATGGCTTACAATAAAAGCATTGCAATACAATTTAAAATTCCAAAGTATACAAACATTCAAATAGAATTAAACTTCAATGGTATTAATAAACAACAACAACAAATTAATTACCTGCCTCTCCTTATGGTTCTAGGCAGAGTACAACATTGTTAAAACAAAGAGATAAAATACAAGATACACAGACTTTAAAAGGCTGCATCCACACCATAGAATTCTGCAGTGCAGACGCATAGATAGGTCTGTATTTATTGTAGTTGATTATTTCTCCTTCTTTGCATTTTGTTTCCAGGCTGCATGTTGCACCACTTTCGCTGGGAGTCACTGTTTCACTAATTCAGTGATAATTTGGTTGCTTTTATGCTTCATGCAGCTTCCTTTTGCTCCAGAACATGCAAACTCAATCCATCTCTTCTTCCCTTTGACCCCTGAATCGAAAAGTTAAATATTGCTCTAGCATGCAATGATGCAAAGGAATCCCATAGCATTGAAACATTGCAGTTAAATAGGAGATAGATCAAATGAAGTAGGTTTTGTTTATGCTGGTTGAAATCTCCCCTGGAATAAGAAATGCTTAAGAAATCGCCATAAGACAACTTGAAGGCACATGAAAGGCATCAATGGGATTCCAGCCATAGACTGGAGAGGAATGGCCAGCAGTGTGAAAGCATCTGGGAACTGTCCAAGGTTTTGTTTTTGGAATAATACATCATGAGGAGACAGCAAAGCCTAGAGAAGACAATGATGCTGGGGAAAGTGGAAGGCAAAAGGAAGAGGGGCCGACCAAGGGCAAGATGGATGGATGGCATCCTTGAAGTGACTGGACTGACCTTGAAGGAGCTGGGGGTGGTGACGGCCGACAGGGAGCTCTGGCGTGGGATGGTCCATGAGGTCATGAAGTGTCGGAGACGACTGAACGAATGAACAACAAAAATAATAATAATCTGCCCCATTCATGCTCAGCTCAAGGGACGTCATGTGCCCCTTCCATGTTTGATTTCATCAAGATGTATTTTTGTAAAATGGGAAATAAATTGCAGCCAGGGGCACACATCATGCCCAAGTTCGCTGCCTGTATTTTGCACCACTTTAACAACAACAACAATAATAATTTGTATTAAGCAGGCTGCTATGGACTTCCGATTGACATTCATTGACTAATAATAATAATAATAATAATAATAATAATAATAATGACTTTCTATTGGAATTCGTTGACCAATAATAATAACAATTATTATTATTATTATTTTGGTTTGCTGTGTCAGTAAAATAATAATAACAATATTTTGGATTAAGCATGCAGCTCTGGACTCCTGACTGGCATTCCCTTCCACTGAAGCTTCAGAGACGCCTTTGGCCCAGGACTCCTATGTGTCATTCTTTGCCGCCCTCCAGTGGACACTTTGAGCATTGCACTCTCTTGCTATCTGCCCTTCCACTGAAGCTTCAGGGACGCCTTTGGCCCAGGACTCCTACCTGTCATCCTTTGCCGCCCTCCAGTGGACACATCGAGTATTGCACAGTCTTGCTATCTGCCCTTCCAACTAAAGCTTCAGAGACGCCTTTGGCCCAGGACTCCTATGTGTCCTCCTTTGCTGCCCTCCAGTGGACACATTGAGTATTGCACCCTCTTGTGTGCTATGTACTCATGTTGTGAATCAAATAATAATAATAATAATAATAATAATAACAACAACAACAACAACAACAACAACAATAATAATATACATCACACAGTTCTAGACACTTGGGAAACGTCTGATGTGTGATCCAATACAACAGCCAGCAGAATGTCTGCTGCGGACCCATCTTGTTCTGTTTCTAATAATAATAATAATAATAATAATAATAATAATAATAATAATAATAATAATAATAATAATAATAATCTATATAAATAAAAATGTAATGTTCGTTTATGGGATTAACAGAACTCAATAACCACTGGACAAATTGGCACCAAATTTGGACACAAGACACCTAACAACCCAATGTATGTCCTTCACTCAAAAAACCTGATTTTGTCATTTGGAAGTTGTAGTTGCTGGGATTTATAGTTCACCTACAACCAAAGAGCATTCTGAACCCCTCCAATGATGGAATTGACCCAAACTTGGCACACACTTCTCCCATGACCAACAGGAAATACTGGAAAGGTTTGGTGGGCAGCGTCCTTTGGTTTTGGAGTTGTAGTTCACCTACATCCAGAAATCACTGTGGACTCAAACAATGAGGGATCTGGACCAAATTCTACATGAATATCAATATGCCCAAATGTGAACACTGGTGGAGTTTGGGGAAAATAGAATCTTGACATTTGGGAGTTGTAGTTGTTGGGATTTATAGTTCACCTAC